CTCAATACTCTTGCCATTTTAACAACATTATAAATTTCTCCAAATAAATAAGAAAACGAACCGAACGCACCCTAAAAGATCATCTCTTTTATTACTCCTTTTAAATTAACACAACTCATACAACAGCCTGTCTCCTAATACCCTGTTAGTGGCACGATGTCCTCTGATCACCCCATACGTCTAATATTGGAAAGCCGACATTGAAAATATTTCATTTATTATTATTTTGAGAAGGTCTAATTACTAAAGATGTGTCGATGAACTGGATGGATTCTTAGTCTCTCATACCAGGTCAAGTCTACATAGTTCTGGAAACCTTGGAGTATCCGCGTCGAGTGTGAAATGTCCAGATGTTCAGATTTCATTAGGGCAGGTTTGTGGACATAGAGAGTGTAATTGAAGCCGGTAGTCTTTAACAAATAATAGACGTAAATTAATTCGATAACAATGCTCGATTTCAACGTCTTTTATTGAGATTCATGGAACTGTATAATTGTGAGTAATGCACTTTATCCAAATCTAGTAGAACACTTTTTAAATTGCTAGCAAAAAGTTGTCGGCCAGCCGATACTAACAATCCAAACACAAAAGCGACAAACACATCTGCAAACCCACTAGAAAATACATTATTCCCAAATCTTCCCTAGATTATGGTACCAAGGACCTGTTCTAACAGGAGCATCAGTCTCAGTAGCTAAAACCTCTTCTAAACCACTCGCCATAACAACATCAGCTGGCTTCAACATCCACTCATCTGACCGATGAAATATGCGATGGCATAAATAGATGGTGAGGAAAATAGGAAGACCAATATAAGCTGTAAGAAAAGACGATACACTCCATTTGCCAGGAAAGAAAACGCTAAATCCATTACAAAGAAGAAGGATTGTAAAAGCGCAGATCGAGACGTAAGCCAAATAAGGCTGAAAACGCGATCTGTATGGTAGATCCGTGATCTCATGTGCAACGCACGCCTTGCGAAAACGGAAAAAGACTACACAACAACAGATCCAGGAGATAAATCCAGAAGTATTGGTAAGATTGATAAACCAGTTGAAAACCTGTATTCCATTGCTACCACAGTTGAGATAGGCTAGAAGTGAGAACATGGAGCTGGCCATTAGTGCTGGATAGGGTACACCCCATCTGTTACATTTTTTGAACACTTTTGGTGCATTGCCGGAAAGTGCAAGGGAGTATAAAGATCTGCTTGACATATAGAGGTAGGAGTTTCCTGAAGACCATGCAGAAGTAATGATTACCGCATTGATGACGCTGTCTAATCCGGATATACCAGCATTCTTGATTGCTATAACCCAAGGTGATGATGCTGCACCAGCTCCACTGCCAATCAATCCTGGCGCATTACTACTCACAATGACGCCTATTGCGAGAGTTCCGCCAATGTAGAAAATGAGAAGTCGGATAAAGTATCGTTTAGCGGCAGTTGGGAGATTGCGACGTGGTGATTCCATTTCGCCTCCAGTAATGACGAGTAACTCGGGCGCGAAGTTGAAGGAGAAGCAAGAGAAGACTAGAACATATAGAAAAGCGCAAAATCTTCCTGCGGATCCGCCGACAAGATATACTCTCGTTGCTCCTGGATCTCTCCAGTAATGAAATCCAAGTGGTTGATGTGATGGTCCTCCACCACAAAAGAGGATCAAGGAAAGTATCAGGAGACCGATGATCATAAATACCTTCAGGGACGCAAACCAAAACTCAGTTTCTCCATACACTTTGACCGGAAAGCAGTTCAGTCCGACAATGACCAAGAGAAGAATAGTGATCCACACCGCGATATTTACATCATTCGGCCAATAGTCAATAACCAATCCCGCCGCCGTAATCTCATAAGGAACAACAATAGCAAAAGAATACCAATAAAGCCAACCCATAGCAAACCCAAGACTGGGAGAAATGTATCGGAAAGCATATGAAGCCATCGTACTTCCATGAACGGGCATATATGCACTGATTTCTGTTGTCGCCGTAACAATCCCATACACAAAGATGGTGATGAGACAATAAGCAAGAAAGAGAAATGCAGGTCCTCCAGCGAAAAGTGCTTGTCCACTTCCGACAAATAATCCGGTACCAATGGTACCTCCCAATGCAATCATTTGTGCATGTCGAGATTTTAAACCGCGCCGAGTGCTCCCGTCAGAGTTTGCATCAGGTACCGGGTCGAAACCTACCTCTGATTCATCGGAGGCTTCGCAGGTGTGTTTATCGAAGTGATTCGTATTATTAACATCGGTAGTATTGGAAGGTTCGTAGACTTGTTTGTCGGAGTGATCCGGATGATGTAAATCGGTAGCATCGGACAAGACCGGTTGATTGGATTCAGCGCTCATCATGGAATCTCAGTAGAAAGTTTGACGGTGAGGTATCAGTCAGATGGATGCTGCTAACTAGGACTTGGAATCTGAAACCTTGCAAACTTTATAGTGATTGATAATCTGGTTAGGTACCCCTGAAATATAAATTCACCAGAAGCTTCGTATGAGGGGAGGGGCTCAACTTTAAAGCGTCACCACATAGTTACACGGTTAGATTGGTATCACTACCGTATCTATCTTCGTGTAACTACCAATCAACCGCTCATTGTTTGATCAAAAATAATGCATATCACAAAGATACTGTCTAATAATTGATAGATAGCTGGAAAGAATCATAGTAAGACTTTCAGCCTTATTCGGGTACCATGGATTCATCAAAACTGAAGAATAGCATAGATCAGTCTCTTTTTCCCTCCTCTTTCAGACAGTAATGAGTGAATATAATTCCATCTTACCAAACCAAAATGTATCTTAAATCACCTGGGCAAGTCACACCATTACAAAAACTCGACAGCTGCTATTGAAATTCCGAAAATTTCGATTGTCCTAGATCAAGTCGCCACTTTGTCCGATTTCCAAATATCATGAGAATTTCACTTGACCTTGGATATCAAAAGATGGAAGCCTTTTGGTCTTGCTGAAATTTGTGATACTCGATCAGGGTGACATGTTGATGGTGGTAATCTTACATAGCCCGGCCCGTTCGCTAATACCTCTATATAGGTGAAAAACAGGCCGAAATTGATCACTAGTAAAGCCCTTGGCCCTCCAACAATCCAATTATTTTATTCCAAGCCAGAGAGTTAATTGTTTGAGATTTTTATAACTGAAGATTATCTAAGGATTTATTCAATATTGTTAACTTTCATGGTTTTATCATGGATTGATCTATTGTAGAAGTTATTAGAATAATCAATTTTGGCCTCTTTTTTCTCCCATGTAGAGAATGCTACTGGACTTTACACTCATAGTGTCATTTATAAGAATTATCTGTGATTAATGCGGTATATCGTGCACATATTTTGACAGGAAACCTTTCGTCTAGGTATCCAAGCAAAGCATATCTGATCGTCGGGAATATTGTAGTGAAACTCATGAGTCGTATCAGTAGCTTCTGATAAAATTACGAATTGTTGTTAAAGCGACGTAATTATTTATCCTCTCGGGAAGAATTTATAAAGAAAATTCCGAAATGAAAAAGGAGATAATCGCATTTCGTCTTCTATGAAGTGTCCAACTATTGCTATCATAAGTTCCTCACTCTGGGGAAATCAGATGACAGCAAGTAAATATTGAGGGAATTTTAAAATCGTTCGTGTTGGGGAGAAAACTTGATTACTGGAAGTTAACAACTATTAGTATTCCAAGAATAATCTATTGGTTACTATTTCCGCGCATCACAAAGGTGATCATCGTTATTCGAGTAAGGTCAAGCATAGGGCGAAAGGGGAAGGGATTTAGAAATAAGCGAAGATTCCCCACATTAGGAACTAATCAAGAGAGCCAAGAGGAATAGGCCATCGCAAGACAAAAACTCAAGAGAATGATAGCATAGATGGTATTGAGTTTTGAATGATAAGATAAACTAATCCATCCTCTTCCCCAGGCTTCTTACAATTTTCCACCTTATTTTCAAAGTTATCTTCAATCCAACACCCATCTCCGAATAACCAAATTCACTTATTCATGACGATCCACAAATTCGGTCAAGACAGCATAGATTACCAGAACGACCGCAAAAGACCCGAAAACTACCACACACTTGCAAATACCCATCCTAACCAACTATCTGCGTAGCAATTCCTCACCACTAGAAATCTCACGTAACATTGTTCTCAGGTACCCAAACATCTGCGATTTCCATCAAAATCTACATTTAGGGAAACAGAGCAAACATACCTAGACAAATGAAACAAGCTTATTTTCTTAAAGCCTTACATACTCACAACGATCCACTCATACTCGTACCTCATAGCAGTCATTAGTGAACGATTTCTATTGTCACCTAACATAGAAATTTGTTCCAAGATTACTTTCAGCCATGCGGTAAATCCTAGCATCGCTGTCTTTGTTCTTTTGGGGGGAAGTGGGGGTTGGGGAAGAGGGGAATTGTTGCAGTGTTTCATTATTGCTTTATATTGTCTTTCACACAAGAGAATAGAATGATCGATCTGAGATTTTAAGATCGAATAAAACAGGATACAAGGGTGAAGGATAAAATATAGGGTGAAGCGGTGTTTAGTTATTCAAGTAAGGAGTCGCATGTGAAGTACGTGGCAATATTTTCAATAGCGAGTGAAGGTTTCTTCTTCTTAGCCAGATATAGGCAAGGAATTCAATTATTCGAAGTTATAGTACCAAACTGAAAAGGGTTCTGGCTTTATCACATAGTTATTCTCATCCAAGAATCTTCTCATTAGGGCAAGATAACAATTCTTATATTGTTCCTCTTTATGACCATACCATGTCCTCAAGTACTTGTCCTCATCAAATCAACTGTCAAATCAACTGTCAAATCAACTGTCTAATCAATATCTCAGAATACCTCTCCACCTACTTTATGTGTATAATTAATGCGCCCAAACAATCCTATGCAACGGCAACCACCCAATGCAATCTCTTAACACCATAACACACCATGCCAATGTAAAGCTCCAATTACAAATTGAACCAGATCATTTTACATCTATCAGCTCTCATTCTCACCTCTCTCGAGCAATCATCCAACGCGACATCAAGTTCCTTCAGTACTGCATTTTTCCGCTTCAGAAGCAGTCCATTCTCTACCAAAGTCGGAAGCATAGCAAGCACATCCAAAGCCTTAGATCTACCCTCAACATTAGCATCCGAGGGAGAATCATACGTATTGTGCGTACGATCCGTCATTCGATTGATAATTGAATCAAGGTGTTCTTCAATCAAACCAGGATTTTCCGGCATTAGAACGATCATAATGTTCATGCTCGCATCTTTCGTGGTCTTATCCGGAACGTCTGTACCAGCTAGAGCAATTGGAAGGATTTGTGCAGCATTGCCTTGCATGATCTTCGCTGGCATATATCGAAGGATACCAGCAATGGCAATGAGATAATTCTCCTTGATACGACTGTCTTCATTGGATCTCCAGAGAGTGATAAGTTGATTGACAGTGGTGCTGTAAAGGCGACCGAATCGAAGAGGACGAAGAATACAGAAATTACTTTCGTTCATCATGTTCGATGGAGCCAACAGGATTCCGAAACTGCGGGCAATCTTTCGACCACGTTTTGGGTCGGAAATACCTTGCATCATAGCATCGATGAGTGCCGTACTACATGGTTCATATGCTGCTACTGCGGCCGCAGCAAAATAAGCCAGGGCTTGGTATATTTGATATGCTTCCAGATCTGGCTTTGATGCTGCTTCATTGACCAGCTCAAGCATAACGCCATGAAGTTGTTTCCCATCTTCAAATGTTTTCTTGTCTGCACCAAATTTGTTTACGAAAAGTTGAAGCATCTGTAACATACTAATGCGAGCCTGTCTCGAACACTTATTTTCAATAGAAATCGCGTTGAAAAGCATCGACTTGGCAGTTTCATGAACCACTAGACCTAAGCGATCGTTATCCTGGAGCAAATCAGTCAAAATTAAGATTGGAAAGAAATGAAAATCGGCTCACTTCTTTGCGGATTCCAGCTATTAATGCCGTGGAAAGAATGTTGGCGGAACATTTATTAGAGGGGCCAACACGAAGGTCCTGTTGAGAAGCACCTAAGTCTGCTCTAGTGTGTGCTCCGAAATTGAATAATGTCCAAACACGACTTGGCTCAGTTGGATTGTCTGCATTAGCTTTGAGTAAAAAGTTATTTTCGTGTGGAGTGGTGTTGGATCGAAGGATGGACGTTCCAATTGTTCCAACAAGTGCAACAACGGAATCTTCGAAGTATTCTCCCTTGTTAACCTCGGAGATACCTACAAACCAACTGCCTTTCAAATCACCAGTCTCATGCTGAAAGAGACCAATGACTCGCTTAAATAGTGCAATTGCGATGAAAGCATAGGGATCGATGATACCATTACTGCTTGAAAAAAGTTCACCCGCCGTTGTATCATTGGCAAGTGCATCGTCAAAAACCTGTAATCCTCGATATATTGCGGCTAAAAGGGCCAGCTGATAGGATTTTTGATTTGCAAATTTACAAATATGATGTGTAAATTTCATGACAAATTCGGATTGTAAAGCCTTAAACAGTCTGAATTTGAAGTGAGTCTTGTCTTCAGAGTCGGGAGTTTCTAACTCGCGCTGGCAAGTCGACTTGCACGCAATATCCACAAGTGAATCTAGGAGCCAGACTACTTTAGATAAGTCAGACTCATCACCATGCTCGGTTTCTAATTGATCTGGAAGTTTGCCAATAAAATTGGGGAGTGTGATGTTGATAAACGTGTCTGGATATCGAACCGATAAAGTGGACAATGAAGCCACAGCCAAAGCTCGAAGATCATCCGCCTCTTTCAAATTGAACGCTGTTTCGTTGAGCTTTTCAATGATTGTTCCTTGTTCGAAAGAATTCAAAAATGGACGGTTGACGGAATCATTGCGAATTGATGCCAAAAGTGTAAGTCCTTTAGTGGTGGCTATCTTTAATTCGAGATCACTTGAAGACACGGAGGTGGCGCCAAAGTAAAGTTCTATGAAGCTTTCGCGGAAGCTATCAAAATTTGCATCCATGACGGCCAATTGTTTAGCCATGTATGCATCCTCGATAGTTTGAGTGGATGAATGTGAGATGTTTGCACGTGTTTCGAGAATAATATTAAATGACTCGAGCAATCGCGTTTTGTCGGCTATAGTATCTAGCCCTTGCCATAAGGTGAAAAGGGTTGGTAGAGTATTGCGAGAAGTAAGTGTAAAAGCTTGAGGAGATGTGCTCGAAATTTTGCCCAAAATACGAGTACACGGTAAAACCATACGCTTCTTTGTATCATCGGTGAAGATTGTAATGCATTCCTGAGTGACATAGTTGACAAATTTCTCCAACTCGACGTTATCGTCTTCGTTGCTAGAGGATTGTTGGTCAAGTCTGCCGGCAATCGCAGCAATGTTTTCTATAGAACGATTGATAAAGTCATCATTTTCGCCGTTCCAGACCTCCCATTTCAAAGTGTCCCATATTGTGACTGAAAACACCGAAACATTGGTGTAATTTCGTATGCATTCAAGCATGGAATCGAATACATCAATCTTACAGATTAGCATAAAACGGAAAAGAGGATGATGGGTTTGGCTACCTTTATATCTGCTCTAACGCTTTCGGAGTCTAATTTCTGGAAGAGTGCTGGGAAAACAAAAGGTGCATATTTATCGTTTGATATCAAACAGTTCAAAAGACCACGTTTTAGATCCTCCTCTGGCTTCAAGGGCGTTGCTGATTTAGTAGTTGTAATGGGAAAATAACGGAAGAACGATCCAAACAAAGTTTCAGCTTCATCAGAGTTTATATCCCAACTTTTGCCTAATTGACTATAAATTTTGAAAATAGCAAGTATACAAGATGGATTTCTCTCAATTGCTGCCATGGAAGCCATGCCATCAACAAACTTGCTTCCAAGCGAGGATTGAAGTGCTGTCGAATATGCTTCTAGCAGACATTGGAGGAGATTCAGTAGACTTAATCGCGTAGAATGAGGGAAGTCATTTAGAGACTGCTTGTTGTCCGGAAGACGGAAAACTGCCGACGCTATCTCAGGTGCATTTGATTTAATAAATCTGGGCATCTTTGCAATGGTGGTCAAAGATTTAGCAATTTCCAGGAGACCAGCTCGGTATATCTGAACCTCTCCAGCCTGAGACACCCGATTTGTCAAATACTCAACAAGAGCGCTCACTGGTGTATATTAGCACTCAGACCCAATACACATATCGCTCACTCGACTTACGATCATGCCTTGAGAGCTTTCCGGGGTCGACACTTTGTAGTACAAGTAACAAAAACTCCAATCCTGGATGTAGTCAGCACTGAAATAGGTTCCAAACCAATTTACTCAAATGGGTTGCACCTTTCTGACAATCTTCCATAGAAGCCTCGCCATCTATATATGGACCAAGCTCTGCAATAAGACTGCTAATTGCAGTGAGATCTGTCCCAAAAGTTTAGCAAATGTTCACGCCGATACTTTTGGCTGAAAGCTTCGAAATCGTACTTTCTACTTTTCGATTGACAATTGCTACCTTATCCTCCTCTGCCTCCGCAGCCATAAACTCAACTACCGTAGATGCCATATTGTTTTTGTTTACCGTAGCTCGCCAATGGAAAGTAGGCTATCCGAAATAAAACTTGAATTGGGCGATGGCGGTCGAAAGCGCCTAATCTATAGAAAGCCCAATATTAGCTACCTGAGAGCATGCACATTCTGTATTCAATTCAACTGCTAGCTGGTGCCCAACAACCTATGTACCAATCCAAGAGACCGAGTGGTTATAGAAATGTATTCTACTTGCGCGCCACGGTAGCTTGTGCCTTGCAGCAGGAGAAAAGGTATTCGTCTGGATTGTAATCCAAGTCACAACAATGCGAAGAAGGATAGTGGGATAGGTGATAGCGTGCTCATTATCTTGAAGGGCAAGAAAGATGTCGCCGAAGTTTAGAGAGTAAATCCAGGTGCCATGTCTCAACCCAAAGTGAAGATCGAGGTCTAGATCGTTGCAGAAGAGGGAGGTAGGACGACACATTTTGGCAAGAGGATCGGTCAAGGATTGAAGCCAATTGAAGTTGAGGGTCTAAAACCTGGGCAACCCGGGTGTCCTGAAAAGATCCCAGATAACCCATCGAGTAAGATCGTGGACGTAGGTTGAGAAATGCTAGGTAGCTTTGAAGCTCTTCGAATGGTGGAAATGATATATATACTTGCGCCCCGCCACAGCTAGGAATAGTTCCATAACAGCCAAACAAGGTCTATTGGTCGCCATCAAGCAGCACATAAGATGGGATAACACATGAATAAAACCGTAGCAACTTACTCAGAAGGAATAAATTTGTCGTGAAATGTAGCACCAATTCGAGTCATCAATAAGAAAAGCTAGGTATGTATGTAGACTTGTAGAAACGATGATATATGGCTGATAAATGAAAATGGTATCAAAATGAACAGTTCTGCTTATACAAAAGAAGAGGATGAAAACGAGTGAGATGTAATGTTGATTGCAAATCATATACTCTTGAACGGCAGGATCTCTTCTGTGTGAACTCTGATGGATGATAACTATAATAATCAATGAGCTTCTAGAATTCATTGAGGGGAATTTTCTGCCGATTAAAGCGGTCAATGGTTGAACTTCGGGAAAAATGTGAAATAACCTTAACACCTCGAATTCCTATCATGTTTGTTCTGGTTGATGATGATTCATATTGTACATCCATCAGGAGAGGAGAACAACTTCCAATCTAATAAATCAAGTACTTGATTCGAAGGAAGCTCTTATTGTTCCTCTTTTTATACATCATCTTTGTATCGTCGTCACCTTCACTGAATCCGGTGAGGTAAAAGAGCCCCAATCAACACCCCTGAGTTACCCCTCCATTTCCCCTCCAAAAACAAAGTGCGATAAGATAAGCATTGGATTTGGAAAGAAAATTTTATTCCACACATGTTTCAATAAAACTTTTCCCCTGATTTGTTACCTTCCAGAAGAGGATTTTCCTATCAACAAACCAAGTATACACGAGACCCTTGTCGAAGCACTGCGATTCTATCGAAAATTGTGCCACGATCTTCTCTAGCATCCTTTACTGCACCTCATTCCACATATAGTCGAACATGTCCTCTTCTCCTGTCCCAGCGACCTGCAAGGTTATCTTGGCTCAAGGAATTGCTAAAAAGTTGCTTGGAGAGGTTGCGACGGATCTAGAGAAGTTAACCTTCAAGCCTAAGCTTGTGGGATTGTTGGCAAACGAAGATCCTGCAGCCCAGCAGTATGCGGACTGGTCAATGGCTACATGCATTGAGAAGTGAGTGTTCTTCCATTCGTTTCCATTTGCTATACAAGAGGATTTTGCAATCGCATATTTGCTATACTTGACCACATCTTCCTTCAAAGATGGGAGTAATTTAACGATTCACAAATCAAAAGATCTGAAAAGCACAGAGAAGTTGGAGATTACATTACAAGACACTGAAATGGAAATTACTTGCGCCCACGAGCAATCAATCTTTTAGTTCAAGACTTGGGGATTCTCACAATGGTGTCGAACACTACAAGTAGTTGGACTTCGATAGTTCCACACACTGACTTCTTTCATCCAGTGGTTTCGATTTCGAACTCCGAAAGTTCACCAAGGAAGAGATCGAAGATGAAATCCTCAAAGCGAACAATGACGATTCCATACACGGTATCATCGTATACTACCCAATCTTCCCCGCCCCTTCTCTACAGGATGGATATATCCAACAAATAGTCGCTCTCAACAAAGATGTAGAAGGATTGGCGCATACATACCGTTTCAACATGTACCAAAACATTCGATTCCTTGACGCCCCTCACAACACTCAAAAATCGATTTTACCTTGCACACCTTTAGCGGTTGTCAAAGTTCTCGAACATCTACAGATCTATAACTCGGTTCTCCCATATGGCAACCGTTTATACGGAAAGACAATCACAGTATTCAACCGCTCAGAGGTTGTTGGTCGTCCATTGGCTGCTTTACTTGCAAATGATGGTGCTACAGTCTACTCTTGCGATCTTGACGGCGTAAAGCTCTTTACCCGTGGCAAGGGTATCAAGAAGATCTATCACGAGGTACACGATATGGAAGGAATGAAGAATGATGAATGTTTACCCAAGAGTGATGTGGTCATCTCGGGTGTCCCAGGAGAGAAGTTCAAGATTAACACTGAATTGATCAGGGATGGCGCGGTCTGTATCAATTTCTCATCTCAAAAGAATTTTGATGGTCCTGCTGTGAAGGAGAAGGCTTCGATTTATGTACCTTCCATTGGAAAAGTTACAATCGCTGTTTTGTTAAGAAACCTTTTGGTTGGTTCTTCCGTGTCCTGACAAATAAAGTCGTTTACTGATAATTTTATAGAGATTGGTAGGAAACCAAGGAAAGGGGGCTGCAAAGCCAGTGGAAGCATTGAATTAAAAGGAAATTAGGCTATTATGGAAGAACCGAAAAACAGAACGGCGTTTTGGGAATATTTATACCAAAGAGGAGTTGAGAATGATAAAGGATAGGATTAAAGTGATAAAAAGTTCTCATAATTGAATTGGATTTGGTATTTTTACTTCCGCCTCTGTAACCTTAACAATTTTTTATTTTATTTTGCAATAGCGATAGTGAATCGGACATGTCTCGTTTATCTACCTACCTGGTAAGCACTTATTGATTGTAGTGTTGAGATCTAAGTCTGCGGTTTGGACGATAGTCTAGAGATATACCCGGAGCGGGAGGGCATACATTAGTATTCAGGCCGTGCCGGAGATGAATGACCTATACGATGGGAATGGAAAATAGGAAGTGCGTAGTCTGACAATTGTTCCTCATTATCATAACTCTATCTTATGATCCAGACATGTATCCTGTGCTATGGATCACTCGCTCATTCCTCCTCTATTGATCAATATTCCTTTCCATCCATATAGGATGTTTTGAGACACTGAATGGGTATCGAATGGATCTGGATCTGGGTTTGAGATTGAGATTGAGTTTCAGTTTGAGATTTGAATTTGAGATTTATATTTATATTTATATTTATATTTATATTTATATTTATATTTATATTTATATTTATATTTATATTTATATTTATATTTATATTTATATTTATATTTATATTTATATTTATATTTATATTTATATTTATGCGTGAGTTATGTCTGTGTCTTGAGTTGTTATGTGAGGTGAGAGGCGGAGGAGAGGAGAGGAAAGGAGAATTTGGAAAAATAACCGAGAGGATTTCTAGGGGATTAGGGGCGGGGTGAGGAAAGCGCCCGAAGGGGGTATTGGTATGTTGGGTTTGGGTAGCGAGGAAAGTGAATTGGATTGGATGGGATTGGTGGAGAGAGGATAGATTGATAGATTTTGAATTTTTGGAATGATGGGGTTTTGTTATGTGGATAGTGGATTGTGTATAGTGGATTATGTATAGTGTGAAATTACTGAGTGGTTTTCTTGTTTTGGTGTGTGTATGAAGGATGGATGGATGGATGGATAGATGGATAGATGGATATCTAGGGGAGGGAGGGAGGGGGAAACCAGATATTATCTGAAAATCTCGTGATATTACCTGTATATATATTATAGTAGATCGAAGAGTTTTTGTTGCATATCTATTTTTGTGCTCAGAATTTAGTATTGTGTTGTGTTGTGTTGTATTGTATTGTGTTGTATTGTCTTATACTGTATTGTATAGTATTGTCTGGTGTGATATAAAGAAAAGAGCTTTGTGTGTGTGTGTGTGTTTGTGGTACGATGTATGGGTAGTTGGTGATACTAGGTGGTACTAAGATAGTACTAAGTTCTTGGGAGGGAGGTCTTTTGTTGCATATCTGTTTTTGTGCTCAGGGAATCTGGTGGGATGTTAAGGATCTGGGGTCTTGGGGTCTTGGTCATGTCATGTCATGGAGAGTGAGTGAATGGTGGGTGGGAGATGTGTGGATACCTAGAGAGATACTTGGTACTTTTGTTGCGTATCGATATGGATGCCTTGTATGCCCAGAAGACTCGGCGGGATCTGGTATGCCACTTGAGGATCTTGGTGTAATGGAGTGATATGCAGACACTTTTGTTGCATGCCGGTTTTCCTGCCCAGAGATTAATGTGGTACCAAGGGTCTCTTGGTGTGATGGAGTGGTATGCAGAATCTAGAGTAGGGACTTTTGTTGCATATCTATATTTGCGCCCAGGGAATCTGGCGTGGGACTGGCGTGATATCAAGGAGTCTTGGTTATGGAGAGGGTGTGTGCATGCAGATGCTTGGAGAGATGCTTTTGTTGCATATCTGTTCTTAGGCCCAGAGACTTGGTGTGGTACTAGGAGGATGGTGAATTTTATGGGTATCTAAGAAAGGGGATTTGTTGCACATCGGCTTTTGCGCCCAGTATTCCCAGGAACTGGACGGGATGTAGTATAACGACTCGAATCTCTTGGTATTATGGATAGTGATACACAGGTTCAGAGAGATGGTTTTGTTGCATATCGATATTCGTGCCCAGGGACTTGGATGATATGATTGATACTAGTGAAATTCGCACTCGAGTACGAGAGTTTTGCCCAGATCATCTAGTGTTATGGATAGAGATTTGAGGACTCTTGTTGCATATCGGTTTTCCTGCCCAGACACTTGGTGTGGTACTGGTGAAATCAGGACTCGAGCACGTAGAGATTTGATGCTTTTGTTGCATATCGATATATATGCCCAGTATGCCCAAGAAACTCGGTGGAGTGTGGTATAACTTGAGATTCTTGGTAAAACAGTATGCAGATATTGTTGTTGCATGTCTATATATATACCCAGAGAACTCGGCGGAATAATGGTACAACACTCGGGTCTCTTGGTGTGATGGGAAATGATATCCATTTACTTTTGCTGCATATCGATATTCATGCCGAGAGAATCAGTGCATTAGTTTGTACCTCGAAGATTGTTACATATCTATTTATACATACCGAAGCCTCGTCACCAAGACACAAGAATACCAAATCTAGTGAGATGAACGATATATCTGAGTGCACATTCTCCCAACTCAAGACTTTTGTTGCACATCCCATCTCCTGCCCAGAGGTACATTATCTTAGTCTCTACACCCAAGCTATTCCGCATAAAGAATAATCTTATTCACGCACCGCACACTCCCTGTGATACTCTCGCAAGCCCAATCCATCACCCAGAATCTCACTGTTGCATATCGACAATCTTGCCCAGAAATCCACCATCCTATCACTGATTCATCTATCCTCAAAATTGCATATCTCTCTTCTCGCCCAGCTTCTTGGTCTACGTGTCCGCCAATACCCTAGTGGCATACCAAACTCCTCATCATGCCGCGGATATCGCGGATACTACTCTTATTCAAAACCGAATCACACTGTTGCACATCTAACTTTCTGCCCAGGAATCTAGAAAGTATGGGATCTTCGCCAATTTTCTTGGTGTGCGACCATGATCCTCAGAAATAATGTTTCGGGGACAATCAATACGAGAATTGGGGTGGGAAATCCTCTTGTTGCATGTCTGTTTTCTTGCCCAGAGAACTTAATTTGCTAGTTTGTGTCTTGGGTTGCATGGAAAAACTTGTGGAAAAACTTGGGAAAAACTTGGGAAAAAGCTTTGGAAATTTAAAGCCCCGAGTTGGAACTTGGATGAGTGAGCTGCTTGGCTATTTTTCCGCTCTCGGTACCGAGATGATTCTCAGATAATGGAGATTGATCATACAGGGTAAGATTATATGGACTGGTATATACATAGATAGATATACATGTATAAATAAAAACCTCCCATCAATTACATACATCTCAATATTCGAAATTCAAGCACAATAATGCAAAACCAACACCAACACCAACACCAACGCCAAGAATACCCCTTGACGATCAAGAAAAAGCAAGAGAGAAAAATCTTCAACCCTTCGAAATGATCAGCAAATAAATAAGATAATTCCAAGACGCCAGCCAGTCATCCAACATCAAAACGCACACGTAAACACATCCAAGAACTTTGTAAATGCTGAGCAAGAATATAGATGTGCAACACATTTTCCAAAATTCAAGACGATAATCACGAGAGGAGGTGGTGAAGGTGGACGCAAAATACGACTTGGTACTAGTTTCAAGGTTTGCGTTTCAAACTGTTGGAAGAAGCTTGGGGGTCTGTCAAACTTCAAACGTGCCTAGAATTTGGTGGAAGATGCTGATGCTGATGCTGATGCTGATGCCGATGCTTGAGAATTGGGCATGGGAATTGTACAATGCAGAGTCTTGAATCAACTTCTTGACTATCGAGTTCTTGGCGCATAAGTATTCGACATTTGGTTTCAGGGCATACATACATTACTCGTGCTGGGTTTGGAAGTTATTCTTTCCAGTAGCTTTCCACAATACAGTAGAACTTGATTCTACCGGAATGACAAATTCGGCCAATCAAATTTGATATAGAGAGGATTCCAGTATAAATAATAATGGTTTAGCATTTTAGATAATATTTCTTTCAAATTTCAGTAATATCTAGACTCGAGCTCGGAAATGTTTCGGAAAATATTATGTGATAACAGTCAATCAGGCTTATTTAGTCAATTTCACTATTAAAATTTATATCGGATTCGAAAGTAATTAAATAAGGAAAGCATTCAAGATTCCGATATATCTCCGTCTAATATAGTCAAGTTCTACTATATATCTCTCTCAAGTTCGCTCTACTTTTAATCCTTATATACTCCCTCATTGTCAAGAGGCGGTATCACAGATATGCGGAAAACTAGAGTTCAAGTAATAGTATGTAGAATTCTACAAGGACTAAAAGGAATCGAAGGATTCCTGAATTAATATAGAATAGTGATTGGTATCACGTGATCTTGGAACATCGCTCCTTGACACTCCTCATGAACGAACAAAATAGCATACTAGATATCTATTATACCTTCAAACTTATTTAACAATTTTTTTACACATGAAAATTATATAGTGAATATGTGGAGATATTAAGAATGTTATGAATTGTAATTTTTTATTTATTTATTTAAATATTAGTAATTTTCAATTTATTATTCAATTTCAAAATAATAGTATTTTCACAAGATTGTTCGTCTTAGCGAGTTTGGTGTGCTAGTTTTTTCGTTCAGGGTGAGATTCCGTAGCCAGGTGTACTATCATATCAAATAAGAACGAAAATAAGGTAAGCAGATAGATGGTGAAAATCCCAAAACGAGGCACCGAAATTACACCACGGAAACCAACGAGTGAAAATCGAACCACGTTCTTGTTTGTTCGGGAGGGTAGGGGACTCTGTATATCTATATGTATCTGTATGAATTATATTGATGGACGGGAATTTAAAGTATAAAGTGTAAAGTGTACAGACTAATCTTGCTAATGCATTTCCGGGGTACTGTATAAAGGATCTTCTCGAATATCAATAAGCGTGTGTTTCCCCGAGATTTAGGAGTCGTTTTTTGATTCAACTCTAGAGATTCTTACATCATAATCAAAATTTAAAATCATCTATTTTGATTTATCGTCTTTAATATCTATATCACTAGTATCAACACAACACAACACAACACAACATAGCACATCTCTCATCCACAACCTCTCTATCAATATCCCCACAACCTCTACCTCAACCCCAACCCCAACCATGCTCTCCCCCAATCCCACCCCCCTAACCACCCAGTTCCTCCTCTCCCACCTCCTCCAATTCCCCGTATCCCCCGCCGCCTCCTCCACCACACCTCCAACATCTCTCCCCACCAAGACCTCACCACCTTCCCCCAAAAACCTCTCCCCCTCCACCATCAACATGCTTTTCCGATGAGAAGCCGCGCAACAAAATGCTCTCGACAACTATCCCATATTTGTCGGCCCCATCCTCTTTGCCTCTTTTTGAGGCGTCCCCAAAGACACGATTGCGAGTATAGGGTAGTCGTATGTAGCTGTGCGTTTGACGTATTGGATGGCGTGTGTGAGGATTGAGAGTGTGGAGTTATGTGAGAAGTGCGGTTTGGCGGGTGGGAAATGGACTTTGTGTTTAGTTGTTGAGGGAGGGAGAGGGGGGTTATGAGTTTTTGGGGAGGGGGATTTGGAAGGGAGGAAAGGAGGGGAGGGGAGGAAAGGAAATTAAATAGAGTATTGGTGATGAGTGAAGAAAAAAGTGATTAAAGTTGTGAAGAAGAGGGGCAGTGTTCCGTGGAGAAACTGAAAAACACCTACAGTATACCCTTTTTCATCCTTTGTATATGGTTCCATATTGTAGCAATTTCAAAATATTGAAACAATGTCTGTCATGTCCTGAGATATCAATTGTTCAGAAATCTACAAATGCAAGGCTATAACGTGATCAAATATCTACCAATACCTAGGTATGCAAATATTGAAATCCCATAGAAACCCAGATGACACTATTATACATAAAAGGTATCCCAATAAACCAACCCCAGGGTATCATTATAAAGAAAAGCACGTTATCTAGGAATACCAAAAGAAAAAGGGAAAAAGAAAACGGCCACTTCCACGTCCTCGCTTACTTATGTCAGGTCCTCTCCTTTCCGTATTGATATACAGTATGTTCATCCACCCGACCCCGCTGGTAACACCCGCTACACTCCAATCCACACCCCATTAAACCTCGTAGAAATAATCTTCATCTAATCCCTCCCGACTCGGAACTTTACCCTGTCCCACCTGGGGACCTCCATACCCATTTCCTTCATCTAATCTCACATTCAAAAGTCTAATCTTTAACCCATACTCACTAACCAAACTCACAAGTTTATTGGTTTCGCTAGTAATCGGCGCTTGGTTCAACAACATCAACAACCCATCCAACCATTCCGAAGCAAGACTATGCGTAGGAGGCATGAGCGTAAGAACAGCTTTCTCGGCCGGATCTGTATCATCTTGTTGTGCCTTGGTCTCTGTAACGTAACTATTGATAGTAATTTTGGTGGTGGTATTTGCTTTTGATGGATTTGCATCTTTAAGGGTCGAGGAGCTTGAGATACTTGAACCGTCGTCATGGGACGCGGAGACATTGGAAACGACTGAACTGATAGTACTCAAATCAATCTTTTCAAGTAATTGATCAAGTGTCGGCTCTTTACTCAATTGATGATCAAAATCGAAATAATGAAGATACCGCCGATTGTGTGAAAGTTTGACAAAACGCCAACTCGTTGGTATCCTTCTTCCTAGACTTTTCGTAGAAGAAGATCCTTCTTCGCTAACGGTTTTCGGTTGAATAATTCTTGGAAACCATGCTCCTTCAAGTAGACATCTTATTCTCTGTTCTTTAACAAATAAAAGAGCTTCGTGTTTGAGCTCATCTCGTACTTGCTGCAAATGTTGACCCCACTCGTCTTCGAATGTCAATTCCAATAACTCCATTTGTAGCTTTCGTAATTTCGAATATTCAAATTCTGCCAATTCCTCTTCTACCTCTAGAACATCTTTTGTTCTTGAAGCTTGGCCGACCACTTGCTCAACTAAAATCCGCACAAGTTCCGCGACTTTTATGAAATCATCCTGCTCGGCACCAGTAGCTTTCCATAACCTAAAAAAAGCTTGCAAACTCGCTGAGTGTAGCCTTGACCACTGGAGTAGTAGAGGCCGGAATACCTTATCATAATTCTTTACTCCATCCAATACCAGATAAGTTTTCGCATCCTCTGCGTCTGATTTGTCGACCTCGAAATGGTCATACAGGATAGATGTGACTATTAGACTGGCCCTTGCGATAGGACATCTCTCATTTAACGGTTTAGAAGATTGCTCCAACAAAAGCTTTTGAAAACCGTCTTCATTTTTCCTGACATAATCGGTCAAATCCATCATACCAAGAAATCCAGTCGCTTCGAATTCCCAAGCAGGACTTTCAGTCTCGAAGCCCAATCTTCTCCACTTTTCGGGATTGTGTTTCCGACTCCCCTTTTTGTCGCCATTCTCCAAATTATCTACCTTTGGTGAAGCGCCGTTGCTAAGATCCTTCTTTTCGGGTGCGCTGGCTAGATGTAGTCCCTTTAGTGCTCGTCTATGTTCTGGTCTTTCCAAATCCACCTTCACCTCCTTCCATTTGCTCAATAAAACCTTGGTCAAACTTTGAAATTCCAATAGCGGATGCGACAAATCTTGTAATGCCGAGCCTTGCATCAAATTATATGCAGCTTTAATAACCCCCAAATCTTGTAAACGTTTAATGAACTTCGGCCACTCCTCTCCAGTCCCACTACTTTTGCTAACATTATCCTTTCCCTGCCCGTTATCATTTGTAATCGAATCCCGCATTAATGCATTCAGGAGCATCAGTGCATTGGCACAAAGTAAATGATCCGCAGAATTGAGTTGCGAGACTACCATTTCGAAGAATTGAGGATAAACTGCGACGGCAGGTTTCAAAGCTCGAAATCCAAATGCGCCGGGTATTTTTATACGCCCCCCTGAAGACTGTGGATGGCTCACAATAGCAACCAATATCGACATGGCTCCTCGTAGAATATTAACCAGTGGATGTGTAACGATCAATTCGACGACTCGTTCAACCAATTCCCCGGCACCTGGTGCCTCGAATATTTCCCAACCCATATCAACTTCCAGTAGGCGACTCAAACTCTGTAGGGAATATGCGAGGGTATTCGCATTGGTTGTCATAATCAGTCGACGTAGGATAGTGAGGCCCCCTGAGGAAATGAACACATCTGCGAACGATGGATCATTGATGGAAGATTGTAGCTTAAATACTGCCATTTTACGCATGGCATCTTCATCGCTGTTGAGTCTCGAGAGCAACGAAGGTATATCTGCTTGATCCATTGTAATTGTTGTGTCTGGTGCTTTCGAGGTCGATGAAGCTGGGGAAATCTGGCGAGTATAGTCAGGGCGCAATTGGCTTTTGATATCCCCCGATTTCAATTATTCGATAGTCACATTTGCTCAAAACCTTTCCAAATATTTACTATGAATTCTAGGTGTTCGTGTCTTTTCCCTTGAGGGAAGGGGTCACAATAGTGTGAGGAGATTAAAAAATTAAGGGTGCATTAAAAGTATAAAAGTACCAAGGATCCGAATCGTTGAAGAAAGTCGGGTTTATAGTCTGTGCTTCAATGGCTTCCAAGGTTGTGACAGTTGATAACGGCAGGTGCTCTCGGTGCCGGAAAACTTAAGCCCAAGAGCCGTCTTATCACTCACCAATGAACCATGCAGTGAACTATAATTATATTTTGGTGCATTCAAGTGACGGGATAGGAATGGAATGGGAAAATTTGAAGACAATCATATGAGACAACCTATGAGCGATCAATTTGAACAGTCAACATGTAAGTACCTAGGTAGGTATGAGAAATGCAATTTTCGCCGATTTTGTACTTCATAGCTCTGGATTCCCTTAATATGATCCACAAGTATCCCAGATATTTCACGCCATACAGTGAAGATGCCAAAACTCCATCGCTGATGTCAATATGCTACTGTATTCATAACTTAGAGCAAACATTCTCAATGATCATCCTCGTCCTCATCCATCAAGCTCAAGCAATCCAACTCTGTTCGGATCAACCTATCAAATTCGGCCCTCTCAATCCCAGCTACTTTCGCCAATCTGTATAAACTCTTCACGCTTGTCGAAATATGTTGTTTAATGCCAACCTCGCTCTGTTCCCGGGCGTGTGCTCTCTTCTCGAGTTTTGCCACTGTCTCACTCCCACTTGAGCTAGTTCTACTTCCTGGTCGTGGTTGTACAACTTCGATATATTCCCCTCCATTAATGATCCCACTACTAGACTCCGACCATGGTTTTACTTCATGAGATGATGTGTGATCTTGTAGACTTTGTTGTAACGTGGAAGTTATTTGATCATCTTGACCAAGGGACGTTTCGACGGTACCATTTTGTGCTGCCTCGTCTGGATCATGGCTATCCATGGCAGGTTGTACATCCGCATATTGTGCGTAGTATGAGTCTTCATCATCTGCACTTCTCGAGACGTTTTGCATAGGCTGGGGCGCAGGAGAATGTTTCGGTGCGGGCGTACGAGCGGGCGTGTTGTCGTACTGAGCCCAGTAATCATCATCATCGTCATTCTCTGCCTCGGTATCTTGAGCTGCATTTGAGACATTCGAAAGACTGCCAATTTTGTGTGTAGACGTTTTCGATGTTCCTGATGTAAAGACGGTTTCCGCAGAAGCAACATCTTTCTGTCCCCATTCTTCTTCGGTTTCAGGATTGTATGCTCCTACTTCTCCGATCCTCCATCCATCACCACCACCGAGTTCGTCGCCAACACACCATACAAGTCGCGCACTCAAAGAAAGATCTCTGAGTACAACTAGAGCTTGTAAGGTCTCTTCATCGAGTCGTCGATATTGGATTGCCACCTCACTCTCCCAATCAACCTCAACCTCACCAGAAACAGGATGTGCTTCTAATCGATCATTTTTTATAGCTTGTTGTAATTTCGAGACATTTGAATCATCATAGCAGAGTAATGGCAGCCAAGGCTCGTTCGAGGTCGAAGATAATATTTGGACTCTTTGACGTAAAATCGGCGAAAGTAAAGGAAGCAGCGCCGTTGGAGGTTGAGGAGATACAGAAGCCGCAGGTAAAGATGCTAATAGGGGCGCTAATAATTGCTCTGCTCTGGGAGCTGAAATAGTTGTCGACATTCTGACAAGATTGATATTGATGTGTTGGTAGATTGGCTATCACATGCAAATGGACATAGTTTGAAGAGGGGTATTAATGGCAATTGTAAAGAGTCTTGACTCAGTGAAAGGACGGTTGAAAACACTTGGAGATTTCGAATATCGACAACAACAACAACAACAATAGCATAAAACAACTTAGACTGATGAAAAACAAAATACAGACAAAATCAATCTCATTAACTAACACATACCTCTAGAAGTTCTGTGGAGAACAGCTGCAGTGTTGATTTCCATAATGAATTGTGATACGGCAAGGGTAAACTGACTGAATCAGTTTCCTTCCGCCCGAGAAAAGGAAGAGATTGGTACCGCAAAATCTGGAATACGCACGTGAATTCGAGGCTTGTTTAGTCGCAATGCATTGATATCGTTTCATCCATTTCTCACCATTTATCCTCTTTTATCATTTCTCTGGCTATTTTTACCCTTGAAGTAATTAACTTTACGGTGTAGAATTTACTAGTAGATAAGGTTAGGATCATGGGTAATCCACAGTACTTATTATGTATTCTACGTCTATTCCTACCAACTCATAGCTGTCTAAAGTCTATTGTACCTTTCCGAATCACTACAATAGACCACCCCTTTACAAACTCCACTGCTCTTATGTATTCAAAACACCTTTAAATCACTTGGAAAGTTCTTGGGATTTCTCCCATTTCAACAAAATTCCGAGAACTCGTTCGTATGTCCACATAGTAACGGCACTTGCTGGAGCAGACTTGAAAAGACTATTGATATCAGCATCAGAAGGTCCCGGACTGCTCTTTCACATACCTGACTGTCAATCCTCGATAGAGCCCTCGATAACCCTCATTGTGTAATATGTGTCGCATTGTTTGAAACACACCGTTGTAAACCGGGATGTTCTTGTGAACGTATCTTTCTCTTGTTGGTCCCTGTACTTGCAATCTCTTCCTAATTAAATCAAAAGGAAATATGCCAGTTTTTGCTATGACTGAAGCTATAACCCCGGCACTCGCATCTGCGGATCCAAAAGGCATGTTTAGCGTTCCCATCGGGAGACGAAGACTCTCGTATGTGGCGAAAAAGATTCCCATATATGGTATAATCTGCCCAACACCAGCCCCAAGTCCTTGGAAGAAGCCTCTCGGCCCTTCATTAATGGCGATATCACGGATCGATGATCGGAGAGAAGTGTACACCCTCTCAACGCCTTGTGCAGCGAATCGTGTGCGGAGCAGATCAAGAGGATAAGTTGCGGTCGTAGCAACAGCTCCTGCAGATGCTCCAGCAAAAAAACTTTCAGCAGCAGCTGGCAGTCGATGTTCTCCAAAAGCGTCTTGTAGGCCCAGCGTAACAGATCTATATGTCGTGAATTGGATCGCACTGTACGAAACGTACATCAACTCTGCTGGAACATTCCCCTTCCATAATGCCGACAGCCCTTCCTCTCGAAAGATACGCTTGATCGTCGGAATTGTGCCTTTGTAGATTGGAGATCCTCGCAGATCCCGATGAGAAAGAGGGTCGGATGCAGAATGCGATTGCAATTGAAGGCGAATTTTAACCACATCCAAAGGGGCAATCGCGAATCTGGGTGGAAGATATGAGCGCAAATAGTTGTCATCTTGACCAATTGTAAATTTACCTAGCAATCAAACCAGCTGTCGCACCAGCTATCATTGATTGGGTCTTGGAGCCCTAGATAAGTATCAGTTTATTGATCCTGAGAGACAGAAGTTACAATTATAAAACCTTAAACCTTACCTCATCCTTTAAATGCTCGGCGCTTTCAGACATACATCTGACGTTCTCGAAATAGTAATATTAGAGTTTGAGGTTTGAAAATATATATCAATCGACACGCCTATTTGCATGACCTAGGGGGGTATAGAAGTAGAAAAGCAATAAATAATTAAAAATATGTCTCAAGAAGGTTAGCGGGAGCTATGATTCATTGATTACGTAATTAAACTTGTTAAAATCGTCCAAGCTCCAAGCTCCATTTGGTCAATCATGTAGCTTGGTGGAGGGGCTCACGTGGAATTGATGCTATCATCACCTCGGTAAAGGCTCATTGATGTATGATTCCTCGGTGAAGAGTAAGTTTATTTATTAGGATTGTTCAATTCTCATTCAGCAGGCAGATCAGTCCTTCACTTGCACCGTGAAAAGAACGAAATTCTAGATATGAGTGCCTTGCGTCTTGGTCTGAACTGTGGTCATCGAGCTGCCAGATCAGGTTGCTTTCTAGCTGCCCCGCGCATCTCTCACATTAGTCGAAGGCTATTTTCGGCCCAACCAGGTCTCCGGATCACAGCTCCCACATCCAAGCAGACACGTGTTCCACAGGTATTATTGAGCACCGCACCCCTGACGATCGACTAAGATTTTGTTAACCTGAATCAGGATGCAAAATCCTCTTCTAGCCCTGAGATTCTATCTCATGACATTCAGGCCATAAAGATCAACGGTGTATCTTATCCTTCATTGTTCCTCCGCGATTCTTGTACCTGCCATAGATGCGTTGATCCTTCCACAAAGCAAAAGAACTTTCAAACTTCGGATATTTCTCCTAATATCAAAGCTACTGCGACCACCAAGGGTGAGAATGGGGATTTAACAATATCTTGGGAAGATGATATTCCAGGCTACGGACCAGATCATATTTCGTCTTTTTCTAAGAAGTTCTTTGAAACCCACTCCTCAGCCAAGGCTTATCATTCCGATCGTCACAATGATGTGAAACCTATCAGATGGAACTCGAAGACCATTGCTCAGAAGCTGCAATATGTAACTTTTGATGACTACATAAACAGTGAAGAAGGTTTATTCAGAGCTTTGATCATGCTTCGGGATTATGGACTGCTCATACTTAGAGGTGTGTCAGAGTCAGAAACATCAGTTGTTGATATTGCAGAGCGAATTGGCAATCTTCGGGATACTTTTTACGGAGCTACCTGGGATGTCAGGTCTGTTCCCCAACCTAAAAATGTAGCATATACTTCTCAATATCTGGGTTTACACATGGACCTTCTCTATATGGCTAATCCCCCGGGGTTTCAATTTCTTCACTGCCTACGGAATACCTGCTCAGGTGGCTCGTCCATCTTTTCTGATGCTTTCCACGCTGCCAGACAACTCGATAAAGATAATTACATTCAATTGAGCACTAAGAAGGTTGGCTACCATTATCGCAATGCTGGGGAGCATTATCACTATAAACATTCTGTGATATCGAAACACTCTGAGATGGGTGGGAACGCTTCATCCCCCAGTGACAACAACATTCAATATATAAATTACTCGCCGCCATTTCAAGCGACATTCGACAAGCCGTCCGACTCCTTGCCCGTAGCTAAAGCATTGAGGCAATTTGCATCCCGAGTAGAGGCACCTGAAAACATGTATGAATACAGACTACAAGAGGGGGAATGTGTCATTTTCAACAACCGCAGGGTACTTCATGGCAGGAAAGAATTCGATACATCAGCTGGGGAGAGATGGTTCAAAGGCGCTTATATCGATACCGACGTCTTCAGGAGTCGTTATCGAGTATTGGCCGAAAAGTATCAGAATAAGGATCAAACGTTCCTACGCACTCATGCTAGACACATTTGCTGGGATATCAAGAACCCTGAGACTGGAAGAATGGAAAGCGATCCACATAAAGTCTGGGAGAGAAGTAGAGATCTTCCACAAACTGAGGCGTATGCGAACATTATCTAGTGACATTCGAAGCCCCTCGATATGTCCACAAAATTCTGCAGTGCAGTCGCTCAAGGAGGAACCCTCGCCGTTCGAATTATCATTTTTATGTTGAACTTTTGTTCTCGAGAAAATCGGAATGTGAAATTCACGTAGGATACTAATTTACATTTAAAGATTCCCGGTTTCCAGTGGAAAAAAAAATCCAGGCTTGGAATGCGATTCGGACTACTAAAAACCGTGATTGAGTTTTGAGAGTATTAGATCCCCGATTTGTATGCCGTATGTCGGCATTCGTGTTCGGTCGAGTCTTTAGTATGCCCAGAAATCAAAAATTATCTTTTGACCATGCACTTTCATAGCTTTGCAGAATTTTGCATTATTACAAGCTGACTTGAATATCTTTACCAAACGATTTCCAGCAAGGTACACCGCATTGGTGAATTGTTATAGTTTGTTGCTCTGATGACTTTCGTATTTGTAGTACCTTCTTCAATTCAGATTCGTCGTATCGCCTTCTTTGGATACACGACTTTCCTTCAACGTTCCTCCTTTTTTCTTACATCACCCGCATCTTTTCAGTGTTCTACCTGTTTCAGTACACTACCTCTTTGCAATGTTCTATATTTTCTGTCGGAATATGGTCTGCATCTTGTTGTCTATTATCAAGTTGCAAACTTCGTTGTCATGATTATCGATTGTATTTTTTAACACTGGAAATTCTGTTGATTAAATTATTGGTTTTGATTGAATACTCAATCACTATTATTACAGAAGACTTTCGGCTGTGTCAACAACTCGCTTACAGCTGGGAGAGTGAATTAGCTTTGGAGTTCTGCAGGATGATGTATTTGTCCGCCATTCACAATATTGCGATTTCGGCAAAGATATGGATGTCTCAGGAGATCAGTATTTAATGACATCATCTGTACTCATCCGGTCTTCCCACCGCCATTAAATCACCCGTATGATATATCACCTCCGGCTTAATAACCGAAATCCTCCACTGCCCCTTCACCTTCACAAACATCTGTTGCATATACGATCTCCCATCCGACGTTTCCTCAATCTTACAATTCGGGTGATTGTAATCATGGCCTGCCACTCTCCGTCCATGACTTGCTAGTTGCTGCCATTCTACGATGATTTCTGAGTTGGTAACACTCTTGAAATAGGGGGCTCCTAACATATGTTGGGTGGCGGGAGCTTTCTATCCGAATTTTTTAGGGCTGAGCCATTCTTCTACGAAAGCGTCTGCAGTGAAGGTTTGTTGACCCCATTCGGGAACTACGAGTGTATAGTCTGCTATGACATATGGTGCAAGAGATGCCCGAAGTCGTGCTTTGTCCTGGGTGTTTATGTGAGTAGTAGGAACTTTGATGCCTAGATCACGAGGTTCATACTTTTCGTTCATACCCATCAGCTAGAGTTCTACTGCATTGTGTGATGACAATGCTTTGCTGCTGCCAAGAAAGTCGGTTTCAAGTGTCTTTTCTCATTTGACCAAACTAGTGACTGGACATATGACGAAATCATGGGTTACTTCAATCAATACATTGGAAATGATGCCTACTACATCTATAAGGGAAAGCCTTTGGTTTCCACTTTCGAAGGAGCAGGTGATGCTGATGCTAGGCGTCAAATCAAGGCACAGACTGGCATTGTCTTCATTCTAGATTGGTCTTCTTTAGGTGCCCAAGCAGCCTTAAAACTTGATGTTGCAGATGGTCTCTTCAGTTGGGCTGGTAAGTAATGACTCCTCATTTTGTTTCCTTTTCTAACACAAAATAGCTTGGCCTTGGGGCAACACAGATATGAACACATATGTTGACGCCTCATACAACCGATTTCTTGATGCAAAGCCTTACATGATGCCTGTCAGCCCTTGGTTCTACACTAATCTACCACAGTTTCATAAGAATTGGCTTTGGCGAGGCGACGATTTATGGTATGACAGATGGGAAGAAGTTATATTTGGCAACCTAATCTCGTTGAAATCGTATCATGGAATGACTACGGAGAATCTCATTATGGTAAGTCTCGATTTTTTTCATCATTGCGGTTCATGCGTTTTACTGCATTTTGCTAATCATATTGTGTGACAGTTGGACCTATTGATGAAACAACCATGGGTGCAATGCGCTCTGCCCCTTACAAGTACGTAAACTATCCACAAATTTTTCTGGCTTTTGTACCCAATAACTCCGTCCTTGATAGACGATGCTAATATTTTGAATTTTAGTCTGAAAGGTGCTGTGAGGACAAGATTGTGTGGATTTCTTTCCGGGACTAATTTAAGTTATTTCAACTTTCCTATGTCATAAAAATCAATTACCAGGCCCAAGCAGGATTGTAACCATAAGTCATAAAAGGTGAGGTGTTGTGTGAATGTATCCGCGGCAATGCAGTAATTCCATAGCAGCAGCAACTAAGCTACGAAAACGTGGCAGTGTCGTGAAAAATTGCACCAGATCTAGCCGTACCAACTTCCAAGCTGAGCGCCCAACTTTCCGAAGAATTTGGATCTCTCTTTCCCATCCAGATAATTTATGGAATAGAAACAACGAGTTATCAAGGAGTTCGGGTCTTGCACGAAGGAATAGCCCAACAGACTTGCTCCGACCAACCATCGGGAACGTCACAAATATCTTTCCTCCCAGGAACAGTAAAACAGACCAACTGACAAAAACAACGGCAAGCTTTCAACGGCGAGGCCTTTACCTGATCAAGAAAGAGATTATTACTTACCGAAGCAATTACCCAAACTGCGCCTCCGCACTTACAGATATTCAATTTCCGGAGCATAATGACCAACCATCAACTAACCCACCAACTGACCACCAACCAACCAACAATACCCAATTCTCTTACTAAATTCACCATACTCTACTCACCACACTCCGCTCTTTCACCACTCACAAACAAAATATCTACCAATATCCATCCATACCTGGCATCTATTCATCATCTCCCAATCATCATGACACTCCGCAGCATACCTACTTTCCACGTTCCAGAAACAACGCAGCACGCGTAACACAGCACCAACTGAAACATCCACAACCGCTATATCCGCAGTATGCCGTATAGTTACCCGTGAAGAACCGTTTCTGTGTAACCAGTACCCGACATATAACACATGATTAACTTGTGTAGCTTTTATCATTGTGCAGAGACCCTAAATTGCAGTTTTGAAGCCTCGTGGAGGAATGTGTAACCGAGTTTGATAATGAGGAGAAGTTTGAGGACTTGAAATAAATAGAGTGACTAATCTACACAGGTGGAACGATTGAAGAGATAATAGAGAACGAGGACATAAAAAACACGCGATTTATTGGATTAATGTACCGCTGCTTGAAAATTCATGAATTATATAATCAATCGAGCCTCCTTCCATTCCGTATACATCATATCTAATTAAGTACGTACAGTAATTTCCAATGAGTGTGGTATCAAATCCAATCAAACAAATCACTCATAAATCCTAGCCGTCTCGCCCTGAGCACGAGCACAAGCACAAGCGCTCAAGCTTTTTCTCCCTCCCAATCCTAATCCTGCGAAGTGAATCGACAATACCTTTCCTCCATTAAACTCCAACCTAATTATCCGTCAAAGACACTCATCTGTAGCCTTTTCCCACTTCATTTCTCATCATTCCCGCATACCCACTCTCACTATCTGTGCACGAAAATGGCCGTTCTCTTTCCGGAGAAGGCGCCCCCGCCGTCATACTCGCGCTTCTGCTTGGAGCTGGGAGTTCGATGGGGCCTTGTCCTTGGTTTTGCCTTTCTTTTTCTCGTAGCCTGTAGTGATTTGATTAGAAAACGCGGTTTCACAATATTCCCAGACATGGATACAAGGAAGAAAGAAAGAATAGTGGAATAAAATATACCTTAAAGCATCTTGTGTACTACTGTCATTCATCTCACTCAATGTATTTCCTTCATACCCCTGAGAACTCAAATGTGACTTGTGATTATGCGCCGGGCTAGGGAACCCAGGACTTCCCATCTGACTTCCAACCGACACACTCTGATATTGACCATTTCTAACCCTCTGCATACCCACCTCATCAATCTGCGGACTTTGACTTCTAAAATTTTTCGTATCAGGATCCGTGTAAGCACCATGACGAGGCGAAAAGCGTTCAGATGCAGTATCCAAGCCTGGGAGACCAGATGCGAACTTGGACATGTTTGGATAATTGGCTTCGGAAACTGTACGGCCACCTTGCGACATATATGAGGTATGAGTATCATCGTACGGGTTGCTGCTAGCTGGAGGCCCGGATGATGGTTCGTTGTGGAATACTTCTTTCATGGTTTTGTGACGGCCGCACATGTAGAATAAAGCGCCGGCTAGAGCTATTACAGCGACCAACGACGATACCGGCAATGGCGCTAGCCGGTAATGACTTGTGAGAGGAGGTAGAAGCGACGGCTTTTGCGGTTTCTAGGGGAAAATACTCATTGGGAGAGAACTCCATCGTTGCATTTTCAGCATACGCAAACTGAACATCGAAAGTTTGAGTAGCATTGGCATTTATAACTCCTACCATACCCTCTTGACATGCACCAGGAGCCGAACAATAGAAGAATATAGGTTCCGTGTCGTTAATGAGTAACTTAAATGTAGGCGGCTAGTTAAGACTCGTCAGCATCATTTGATCGATCTAAAAAATTAGCGAGTCTCCAAAATTATCCGAGACAATAGAAGTAGGTTCAAAACCACTCCAGAATCCAATCTTTCCTGCCTCAGTGTCTTCGTATGGTATACATGGTTCTGTGAGGTTGAAATTAATTATTGCCTATCAACAAATGATTTGGAGGAACATACGTTTATATTCTGCTCTCGCCACAGAATGATTTAGAGGATAGAAGCGAAACTCTACAGAGACTCGTTAGTTAAACATAAATGTGATGTTCAATATAATGACCCACCAATAATATCCCCAACATCCGCTGTTAAGTCTTTAGGATCGTAATTGAGACTATCCTGGTAGTCATTAACATTCAATCGTAGCACAATTGCAATCGCAAGATTAAATTACTGCATCAACCGATACAACATGCGTCGTAGCAGCAGTTTTCGAAGCGCTTATCGATGAACTTGTGGATGAACTTGTAGTGGATGCCGATGAAACAAAGCTTGTTTTTGACGCTGAAGCCGTGGAAGAACTATCCGCAATTGAACCCTCCGTACTAGAACTTTCAGCCCGGACCGAAGCAAGGATTGATAACCCTAACAGAGCGAATAGCCTCGACAGCATCATTTTGAGTCAATTAATTCATACGATTTGTAAAGAACGAACCTTATCATGCTGCAAGAATAACAAAATAAAGAATAAAGAATGTGAAAAAGGTGTGCCAGTACAGAAATCAGGCGGGAATCTTACTTACATGCGGGGTGGTTGTCCATATCAAGAACCGACCAACGAAGCCAGCCCTCATTAAAAAGATAACTTGGGACAGTATTGTAAGAGCAACAATAGTGTGCGGCTGAGTAAGAGAACAGCCTGGCAAATCTTGCAAATCTTTCTAAATTTTCACGTAGTATTAACTGAGTGAACTTGGCATGGAGTACAGCGGTGTATTACCTAGTGGTTATGGGAGTTTTGGGGCATAATGATTCACGCTTATCTTGAGGCTATCTATACCAAGTGCTTCGAAAATTACGGAAGTTCTGAGGCGTTTGTGTCGGCTGCATTTATCTATCACGTAAATAATCCCCATGGGGAAAAAAGGGACCCGATGGTAGCGATGTAGCATGTATGTAATTTATCCACAAGGAAGTTCATATCATTAGAAATACCATTCCTATCTAGGGAGAATCAGAAAAAATCGATATCGGACGCAGCCTCCACTTGTAGGATTCTGCAGGGAAAGAATGGGGGCTGGAACCATTGCTTGACGGAATCCAGGCTTATGGCCGATACATGACGGTAACCGTGCGAATGGCAACTGAACTTCCGAAAGCCTTACGCATTGACCGAATCAACCCCTGAGGGGTCCCTTTCCTGCTTACATCCCTCGTATTGCCAAATCTCTTGATTGAGATCCGCGTGGGAAACGTTATGGAAGTGGTGTGACTGCGTAATCTTTGACCAATAAAATACATAAAATATTTATAAATTGACAAGAATCTAATCTTGTATATGGGTATATGGCAAACCTTTAAAACCCATCACTGAACCTTCTTCGCTTTCGCCTTTATCTTTTCCATCTTCGAGGACTGTAGAAGACCACTTTCAACAGCCAAGGACCATAGGCACCATAGGTAACATATACCAAACCCAGAAACTCCAACTGCGACATTCATGACTACCCAAAAATCAGGGAAAGGAGCAGGTGGCGTCCAGAAAATTTCTCCCAAATGCCAAGTGACCATAGCCTGATAGAAGAGCGTATGTAGTAATGTTGTTCCGAATCCTATCCAGTTGCCATCATTATGTTGCGCATACACCTCAAAAGAAAAGGGTGGAAGCCCAAGAAGGTAGAGCCACAAGAGAACCAGAACGAAGTAAGGAACACGTAACTCTACTCTTTGCAATAATGGAAACATTGTAAAAGCGCCAAGAACATTGGCAAATGCTATCCATGATCGAGTTCCTTTGCTAAGTCCTCCTCGACCAGCCAGCAGCACAGTCATTGGCATCAAAGGTAACAAGACGCTTTTCTCATGTACCTGGAAACTGAATAGGAAGAACCCCCACGCTGATGTTGCCAAGGCCAAGGGCAAAAGATCCTTTCGTGGTTTGAAGAAGATAATCAAGCATGGAGGAGTGATGGATGCTAAAGTGAGAAGTAGTGAAGCTTTCTGAAGAAGACCCTGATCAAAGTTTCGGAGCTTGATAGCGACATTTAATGCGCACCAGAAGTTGGCCACTTTGTCTTCAAAAAGGCCCCGCGCAAAAGGGAATACTCGGTATATGACCTGTGCACTTTGCTGTATAATAGGATAATACCAAGCGCGATAATCAAGTTTGTATGAAAATTGGCTAAGAATTGGTAATGGTGCTGCGAAACCATCAAGCTCTGGTCGGGCACTGATACCTTGACTTTTCTCGTAGATAGCACCCAAGAACAGGGGCAGAAATAGGACCGCAAATGATACCAAAGTAACAATCGCAATGCCTAAAAACCTGGGAATATTGATAGGAAATATGCAGACTCCCAGTAGGTATGCAAACATTGCAGGAGCATAATACAAAGCCATCTGCTTGAATCCCAATGCCATGACGAAAAACACACAGCTCCACATGTATCTGCCAGCTAGTACACTAGACATGCTAGCCAGAACCAATCCAAGCATCACTGTGTTGTACTGAAAATGTGCGTGGTCGATGAGGATCGATCCAGGTTGCATAAGTATCGCTGTCAGAGCAATTGATGCTGTCCATATATTTACAGCTTGAAGCTTGCTTAATCGTCGAACGAAGATGACTGCTGCGGGTACAAACACTAAGTATTCGGAGATGATAACTGTAGCTCTCATGAAAACCTTTAATGTTGGATCATCGAGTCCTCGCGACGTGTGTAAGGCAAACCACGAGGGTTTTATAAATCCTCCAATCTTTCCAAGAACCCAACTATGATATGCGGTCAAGGGCGGATAGTCCAATCCCCACCATTCGAGTTCATGGAAGTACCATTGTGAAATCGGAAGCTGTGTTGTGATCTCCATCCAGTGTCTCTGAGCTTCGTAATCGCCATGCATTGGTGGGCTTTGAAATCCTGCCATAAGAGTCAGTAACAGAGCTCAGGGTAGTTGGCAGATTCTACAAACGTACCAGAATATCCCCAAAGTCCAGCAGCCCACCTGAACAAACCTACGGCCATCAATATTAGAGGAAGTACCACCCATTGCGATGTCGAACTACGCGCAGACCAAAGTAGAGAGGCCAATGGATACGTGGGTTGATTTCCACTCATACGTCTGGCTGTTGGCGTGGTGGGAGTAACTATTGAATCACTCTCAGACATAACTTTTTTGGAACGTTGACCTCGCGATCGAGATTTGTACGGTGGAGGGGAAGGTCCAGCCATTGTCACCGAAAGATTGAAGCCGAATGATGTTCTATTACCATTTCTCAAAGTAAAACACAAGATTGGGTCTGGAATATGTTGGGTCGGTCATGTATCAAATTTGTGGGGGTGGTGTGCGATGAACACTACGATATTTATTTTATCCTTGCGCTTAGCCATGATGACACGCTTCAATTTTTGCATCTGTGTACCAATAACATCTACGCCAATTCACAATTGAATGTTTTATTTACGCGCTTCAAATTCTCATATTTTCGATATCCTTCTTTCAGAATAATAAAATCCATTATAGGAGTTGACTAGTGTTAGCTAGTCGCTTTGGAAAATTATACACAGACCAATACACGTAGGTATATAGGAAACCTTCAAGTTGAAGTGATACAACTCCCTAAAAACAAATACTAGAAAACGTTCCCTTCTAGATTTCTCAAGCATAACCATGTTGCGATGGTGAACCTGTTCTCAACTTTCGAGTGAAAGCAACGGCCTAAAAGAATGCAGCCATTGCCGCTAAAATCCGCTATACAATTCAATGGCTCTTGAATTAGATACAGCGGATACACTTCAAAGGTTCTTCTCACGAGCTTTTCATCTCCAAAGTCTAGCATTGAACTATATTTACCGCCCAGCTGGGTATACTTGACTGCATACGTAATTCAAGCGATACGAAAAGCGTTATCCGGGAGTATTGTGGTTCCTTTAATATCAAGTATGTAATTCCTGCACAGTATCAGGATACCGCAGCTGTATGGCACTTTACGGTTTGCTAGCGTGGACTTTAAAATGTCTATAATATTCTCTGGCAAAACAGTAATGCAAGTACAAGAAAAGATACCACGCATAACACTATACAAGAGTCGGCTCTAGCGGCTAATATTTCATTAGAGCGCTGAAGCTCCTAAAATCCTATGGAACCGGCATGCCATGGGCAACCAAAGCAGCAGTCTCCTGCGTTTAAACCTGGCCTTAAGAATGACGGCATCAATATCCCATTGACATCCATAAAACTCCAGAGATCCCTTGTAGCGCCCTAAACTCCCACTCCAAAGTCTTACAGCATCCATCCTTCGCAAATGTGAAAGTTTGCGTGCAACTCCGACACAATGATTCGAGCATTCCAGGCTTGAAAATAGGCTCGTGTTTTCTTCTTCTTTTTCTTTGAAGCCCACATTGTCATTGAGTAAGTTACATCATCTAACATGCAACCCAAGAATATGATGGTTCTTTGACCTCTGTATAGCCAGATATCCCGGGGACTTTTGCGATTCTGAGATTCTATAGTCAGCGGTCATTCTTCAAAATTTAGGTCAGCTTTACCATTGAAGCGCTTTTCTGTCTCTACTTCCGTTTTTATGAACTTGACGCTCTTGGGCTCAACAGTAAGAAGTAATGGTTCCTTAGCTGCATGCTTTATGTATACTTGACGGCAGCATGCTCCGACGAAAGCTAATATCAAGACCAATAAACCCATGCCAAGGTTTACGAGGACCGTTGGGTCAAGATTAGCCTTCAGTGCTATTAACATTGTGGCTAGACACATATTGATGGTTGGGAGTTGATTATTGTGATAGATACGTATAATTCAGAGAGTACAAATGGTATTTGATGATGAAAGAACGATATGTGATGTAAGAATTTTCGCAAGAATAAAATGGGCAACGGAGTTTCAAGAACACGATTAAGTGTACGAATTTAGACATTGGAACTGTTGGTTAGTCGATCGAGACTTCCCATTGTTCAAGACATATATCTCAGAAGCGCTTCCCAAGAATCTCAAGGATACTGCCGCCGATAGCCTGAATCCTTCACAAATCCTAAAGCTCGGGCCAATTAGACAATGTGGACGCTCTACACAGCAAGCTACACGATAGTACGATACTCGACATCTCTATAAACAAATGCTCCGGACATTGTTGATTAGCTTTTCAGATAGGAAAATCGCAAAGTGGATGTGGGATAAGCAACTCAAGGACGGTAGATCCTAATTTAACATTAAAGTCACGTGCCGGCCATGCCATCGATTTTGAATTATTAACAAAGTTACGAAGTTAGTGTAGCTAGCTAGTCACGTGCAGTCCTGTCGCTTTTGCATGTTTGCTTTTCGACAAAGCCATGTCCTCTGCACCTTCATTAGCACAATAGCTACACGGAATTTGCTGATGTCAATGAGCATTATATTTAATTTGAGGTATCGTTTGAATTCTTACATCTATTGAATTTGAGGACTATTTGCGCGGGAACCTATACAATCTTGATTACCACTGCTAACGAAACGACCTACTTTTATTTAACGACCCGGCCAGTCTCACCATTATCCCTTTGGAACTCAAAACTAATTAATTACATGCATTTGAGACCAATGTGTTCCAATGACATTTGGCAATTCTCTGAAAGGGAACACTCAAGTCTCTCTCTGCGCCTTCGATCAAGCTACATGAAGTCATGAATAATTGATCTATATGTTCATTCAGAAGGAACATATAGTCTGATTTCTATTTCGAGTTTCTTGGAGATTCTTTATAAGTAGGGTGCCTTGTAGCTACTGGTTATTGATAATTTTAAACACCATAGCATTATCTCTCTTATTTTGTCATGACAATTATCAGTCACATTATCATATTTGCACAGCACGGGTGAAGTTATATTTAAAGTTCAACAAATTGTATTATTTTTTGGCTTGAGTTTTTGGGTCGAATCGAGCTAATAAGATACCAAATTAGCCAAGCGGAGTCGTAAGAATAGGTTATGAAGATGAATGAAAAACGATTTCTCCTCCTCCCTCTTCTTTAGAACTTCTTCTTGATTGATCCCCAGAGCGACTTACCTATTTTCTTGGCCTTCTCCCTTTTGCTTTCTCTTCTTGAGGGGGTGGGAGGATGATCGAATGTGGCGAGAGCTTCTCTTTGTCTTCTCTGTCTGGCCAAAGTTCCCATGTCCACGTCGTCGGCAAAATCTAAGTCGGGTTCAAGTGGATCGAATGGTGTTGCGTCCGGTTGGCTTCCGGAGCTGCACTGGTCGTCTGAGGAGCTGTCTTGGGTTCCGTAGGCGATGCACCGGGGGCAACGTTTTTTTCGACTGAATCAACAAGAATCCGAGCTTGTCGACTCCAAGAACGATGCACTTCTTGTCATCTGATGCGGCAACTTTGTGATGTCCGCAACGGAACTCTGTGAGGAGGCCCCGTCTGTCTTCGAGATTGTCTGGTGCAGTGAGTAAAGGACTTAGCGGACGAGAGAGGATAACTGGATCCGTGGGAGGTACCTTGTTCCTGCAATCAGGGCACTCCTTGTCGTGTTTGATCCAGGTCGTTTCGGGTCCGGTGATGCATCTCCAGTCTTCGTCGTCCCCAGCTTCGTGTAAAGTGAGGTTGGCAAAGTACTGGTGATCGCAAGTGAAACTTGTTACGGCGCCGACTAACCAAAGCATGATTAGGTCTGGTTTGGGTTTGGTGTTGGTCTTGAGAATGGAGATTATTTTAATGTCAAAAAGTCTTGTTAGAGAAGATTGGTTTTGGTTATCTAAGCTCTAGGACCGATTGGCTAGAGAATAAATAAGCTACCTTGGGAGAACTATGGAAGATTATATGGGTTATCGAAAGCAGCAGTTCTGAACTTGTTCAAGCATTGTAATTGTTGGTTCACATTGTTTGTCTACAGTTCAATTCGCGATCTCTCCTCAAATCCACCGTACATAGCAGTTTATTCTGGGGTTGAATAATAGCAGAAATTCTCCGAAGTACAGCTTAGACTAATAGGAGGCATAGTTTCTTCCATTCTGTTGTCCTACAATGTTTTCGTGTTATAAGTTTGCTAGTTAGATGAGGATAGGAACCTGAACGGCATAAGTCACGTGACATCCAATTTCTAGCCGAGATTTCTGTTGGCTTGATTCATCATTTCGTCTCAATTTTCGTCCCTTGCTGACATTGTGGTCAAGGTTTTGGTAAGATTTATGTTTATATTTGATTCCTAACGCTAGATCGAGCACATACTTTACTATATGGATTTGTTCAATAATCATATGTTCTTTGCAATAATCAAAGAGTAGTACCTCACAATATTGCAATATTGCAATACATCACTACACAAAGAAATGGGAATTTGGTGGGTTCACGAAACTTCCTTTCCACTTAGCTATGCCAATGACATTTTATTTTTTCACGATTGGATCATAGTACCTAGGGGCATCATCAACGAAAGAGGTATGTTAGTCACATTTGAGTTTAGTTCATTTTATTATTGTTCTGGAATTTTACAATCCGTTACTATGGAATCGATTCGCCGAATCTTCAAATATCTCGCCGCTTCTCCTCACAGTTTCAGTCCGCTCCTTTCTCGAAATCATCTCGATGACTTCATAGCTCGGTGGACATCATCCGTAGAAGAAGCGACCGGAATTAGTGGCAAGCTGTCTCGGTTCTCGTGGATGGATGATTATAACCGGATGAGATCTGAGTGGTTCTGGATGTGGCTTTTCCCGACAAGTTGTACACAAAAGCGCGGAATCTGCAATCACAGCCCCGGATTTATTCTTGCAGCTCATTCTTCGGATGATTCCCATCACTCCTGGTCCTTGTTCCTCGCCGATTCGGGTGGCTGAACGTTCTTCGTGTCCGCAAGCGAACGTGGTGAAGAGTGTCGTGGACATGATTGCGATGTTCTTGTTCTTATTTGGTGTGTTAGAAAGCTTTGATGTGATTGTATGCGCGTCAGTTAAGATGGAAAGAAAACTTGGTCAATCTCTGGGGTCTCGCCTAGCCACTTTATGAATAATGTGGAGAGACTTGTTCAGGCGCTGTTCTGGAATCATTCATGTCGGGTTCATTTGAACCATTAGAAAATAATGAAATTTCTAGAAATCATTTCCTCCAAAGTACACTGCCTCAGGAGGCGTTTCCAATGAAACAAAATTTCTACATCCATGCAATACCTGGCTGATTATGTTAGATCACGTGACTGTTCTCGAAATGTCCAGGCGATTCGAGTGACATCTGATTCAACTGATTCAACTCTCGATTGAGTTTCCATAAGTCCTCGATGACAAGTAAGAACGAAAAGAATCACTTCCAATAAACATCATCTAGACAAATTAATGCTGTATATTTCATGTCGAAATTGGTCACAGTGGGAAATGGATTAGTTAAATTTAGGGTATAGTTCCCCGTTCACCGTATTGTTGATTAAACCAAGAGAGCTAGAATATCCATAGTTATGCCCTTCATGAGGCGTAACGCCTTACGAATCGGTACTAGTACCAATTAGACCATAGCGCCAACATCACGGCTACTAACAACTTTCAGCCTTTTATATTGAAAATCTAGGGAAGCGATATAAGGTTAATTCCGATCTAGAAATTCGCTAAATCCAATTCTCCAATTCCTATTCTCCAATTCATAGTCATTGCTTGTGGCTTTCGATTGTTGCATCAATTTTAAGTCACTTTCATAAAGGTGGCATAGCACAAGGGTCGCATGGGGTCTCATATTGATGGTCGTGGTTTATTGTATAGGATCTATTGATATTTTAAAGTAACTCCTTTATCTGGGTGTCAATTTAGTTAGTTTTTTTGTGTTTTTTCCCTTTTCGGTTGCTGTCGCTCCCTGATTCCCGAGGTCGAGGTTTGTCCGGTTCGCTCTAGCTACTCACCGAGTGAGTTAGCTATCTGCGATGACTGCCTATTGTTCTTGGTCTTTAGCGAGAAGCCACTCGGTGTCGTTGTCCTCCTCTTCGCTGAAGAGTGCGGATCCCGGGATGGGCTTGCGCTTGAGGTGGTGTTGGGGTGTGGGGGTTGGGGCCGGTGTCTTCTCTTTTTCCGCTTCTCGCTCTGCTGCCTCCTTAGCGAACGCGATAGTTTCCTTGACGCGCTCGTCTCGGAGTTGTTCGAAGGTCTTGTTGGTGTTACCCGGGTGGGTTCCCGAGGCGAGGAAGTCTTGAACCGTGAAAACTGCGCAAACCTCGCAGAGACCCTCCCGTTTGATGTCTTTGGGGATCTTTGCCTTTGTGCTGAAAGCTCTGCGGATGCTTAAGGCTCTCTTAAGTTTCTTGAGCTTGGAGGGGAATTCGGGGAAGCAGTGGCCGCATTCGAAGATGTAATGATTGACCATGTTTGTTTGTGGGTGGGTTGGTTTGGTTTGGTTTCTTTGTTTTTCTGTTAGTTAGACTGAGAAGCTTTGAAGAGTGAGGAAAGAAAAATAAGAGAAGGATTTCTGAAGCTTTATATAGTGTTTGGATGAAGTTGTTCTGGTAATTATGTATTGTTCACTTGACTGTGTGATAATGGAGTTGAAGGGGAATAACTGGTCAAGTGAAGGTGAATCTGCTCAAGCTTACCCGCTTTCTGAGCGTTATCGTGCTCAACATGCTGTGATCAGCTTGTTCAACGGTGCATCAAACCTATTCTCACATTTTAGAGTACCTGTTCACATACTATTCAGTTTCTGTGCTCAAAATGGTGGGCTTCAGTCTCAACGTGCCGCGGGGAACCTGGGGTCGTTTCCCCCGCAAACCACCAGGAACTAGTTCGCAGCTATTTAAGGCTTGTATTACGGGTACAGATTAGTCGTCGATATCTTAATGTTTTTCAGCACTCGCTTTCCATGCCTATTGCGCAATCTACTCTCCGGCCAAACTCACATTTCTCACACTTGCATATTGGTTGATTTAGGGGGCGGATCACGTGCTAATTCCTCACTTTGTTTTATAGGGATGCTGTCTTTGCAGCTTTGGCTTCTGTTGATACAATGTAATTAAATTGCTTCGATTTTAAATTCTGTGATGAAATCTAATATATTTTGCTCGTCTATGGTACCTCAAGTAACTTTCATCCGCAATTCTATTTGTCTAACCAGACAGATTCTAGGTCCCACCACGAATCACTCGGCTATTGAATACAAATGCTGGACCTTCGACTTTCTCAATTAAACTTCTATAAATCAAATAGATATTAATCCAGTGACCTGATTCAATGGATGCAACGCGATAATTCATATAGTCGCATATACAACGATTTGCGATATAGGATAAAGTTTTCGAAACTCCATCTAGCAATGGCTCGGCAACAAGGTTTACCGTTTATCAAAATTCACAACACTATCAATCAATTTTTCACAAATCACATTTTCATAAGGTACCATCAGGTACTAGTCAAGTTTGTTTGAATTCCATGTTTCTTTTCATTCGAAGGGTGTTATATACAGTAAAACAAGATTCTATTCGTCTTCTATACAAAACTCCCGAGTCCGTGATTTATTTCTACCGTAGATCCGATTCTATCCTCACCCCCCCTCCGTCACCGCTCCTTCAAAGCCACTTCGGAAACCTCATCCCCGAATCGATTGGCGACTCACCTCGCTCCTCTTCACCACGAGTGGTAGAAGGAGTCAAAGTGAGAGGGTCGGGGATTAATATAACCGGAGTCCTTGGTCTTGTTTCGGAAGATTGGGCTTCGAATGGCTGGGTGATTCTATCGTGGTGTTCCTTGAGTGCCTGGGACGTTTCCTGTCTCGTCCAGGCGTGCACCCGGGGGTGAACACCATGGTCTTTTGGTGGAGGCGAAGGTGGTGGTGGGGATGATCGGCGTGGGGTGTCGGTTGCACTCCGTTGAAGCTCTTGTCCTGCAAGATCTCGTTGGCGTGCACCTCGATGTGCCATCGCATCCCATCCCCGAAGGAGCACCTCTGAGGTTGGAAAGCCGTTGGAACTTCCGGGAAGGTTGAATGCCGGTGCATCGGTCTGTGGCTGAGAAGCGGTGTTGTTGGGGAATTGGAGAACAGGGAGGTCGGGTGGACCTTCCGCCATGTTCGCCAAGTGTGCGTTGGATTGTGGTGGGGGGGTGACTGTGTGTCGAGGTGGAAGGAAAGCTGGTAGATCGGGCGGTCCCTCGGCCATGTTCCAAGGTTGTGGAGCTTGGAGTTGGGAGTTGGTTGAGTCTGGCGAGTCGCGAGCTGGGAGTTGGGATCTAACCTGAGGAGCGTGTTCCGGGCGTGTGCGATCTTGTAGGGTCTGTCCGCGAGGGTGTGGGCTGGGTCGCGCTTGGGGTGCTGGTCGAGATCGCTGGCGGTTCTTTGCCTGGCATACAGGGCAAAGTTCCATGCTTGGTCTTCTGATGGTTTCGTTTAATGTGAAGGCTCTCCTTAAACGATTGACGATCGGGGTGTCGGTATTTATAGGGTGTGGCCTGGGCCCGCTCTATGTATGCCTGGGTGTCTGGGAGCTCGTGTGTACAGCTGTACACGACGATTCGTGTGGCTGTCATGGTGGCGGTGGGCGATTGGTTTGTTGAGGTAGTAATGTAGGTAGCTACTCTGATTGGTTGGATTTGAATACTGGAGTTCGATCCGATTGTTTGTGTAAAGGAGGGAAGTGGTATTCAAATCTAGTCTATCTGAGAGAAGAAAATATAATCTTTAGTCGAGGATACCATTCCTCATATAGTTACTGCCCGGGATTGTTCCTCTACAGTTATTTAGCCAATCCAAAGAGACTCTGAGCTTTGTTGCTAATTCGAGATGTAAAGCCAACTCATTGACGATTGTGCAGTAAATTCTTTCAACTTCACTTATTCCTAAGAGTCCAACAGAGTATTTCACCCTACTTGCAACTGTTCTATCACTATTCCCTTACTATTACGACGCTGTGTGATAGTTGTTATTGCAATTTAAACACCAACAGTTAAAGTGCAGTCAGTTTCAACGGAATCCGTCTAACCAAAGCCACAGCCTTCCACTTTCGACCTACTCATTCCAAAGCTTACCATAGTTTCATACATGTTCACGACTTGTTCTGATGCTATTTTAGAGCTGTTCCGATTCTGATTCTGGTGGCTTCCACTCTCTCAAAAAACTGTTGATGCTAGGTTTCACTTTCGTCATCACCGTGATTCCTGGGGATTGAACCTCTTCACTTTTATCTAATTGGGGCAGATGTACATATCATGACACATTTTTTGTATCTCAAAGTATGGAATTACTAACTGGTACTAAATTCCAATTCTACAATAGCTTTGGCTCGAAAAGTCGTGCGAGTAAAAGGAGGTGATCAACGCATTCTGCTGGAATACTTGGATCTACGGCTCTACATGACACGCCGTATGTCTTCCAAATGAATCAGCACCTTAAAATATGGAATAAACATGCTATAGCCACCCTTATCCAGCTCCAAAGCGCTCGAATTCGAAGATGTAGACAACCCAACACCCCCCCTCAAAATCACATGATCCCCCACGTGCCAAACTGACGCCATAACCACAATTCTCCGAGCCGAAAAACAAGCTTTCTTTTTCTATTCGCAAGGGCGAAGCGACAAATTAGCTCCGAAGATCAAAGTGCCAAGAAAGTAATCTAAACGATAAACCCGTTTCCAGCATTACCCAGAGCCAGAAAGAGCATGATTCTTCCTATCACTATCTGTTTATTATCGATGAATAAGTTTGAATATAAGAATTCTAGTAGATATAGGAGGTAACTGTGAAGCTAAATATTGAAAACCCCTATGACGCAATCCAGTGACACCCTCCTGGACAAGGCAAGAAGCTTAGGTTAGAATATAAACTTTGAAGGTTTTCGGTGATTGGATGAATTAGGTGAACTAACTACTAGGCTTTGAGGATAAAAGCTCGATATGTATTACAGTAGAGCTCTTCAGAAAGTTCTTGTGTCGTCTACTGAATTATCTCGCTGGGGTTTTCTTCTCTGGTCTGCTAAGGTATATTCCTTACAAAGGAGGAGGGGCATATTTCTTACCCAATTGTAGAGCTTTCGAGTTAACACCCACTGAGCCTGAGCCCGGATTCATCTCACTCGTGTCATGGCATTGATTTCATTCACTGCATCGTCACATTTCCACAAAGATTTTCACATTTTCACAACAACCTCCAAAGCGCACTAGGGCATATTTATTTATTTAAGTTTTTATATTTTATTAATTATTTTCGAAGTATTTTGAGTACTTTTATTATTTTCGCCCATTCCCAACGAAGGTATATATAGTCATCCTCATAAGAAAGATCGCAACCGCCATCTTCCTACAAAAGACAGAAAGCCATTAGTCTTGCTCTAATAAAGAATCATGAAACCAAGAATAACAAAAGAAACCGGGGTGTACTTACTCCTTCTGCACGAGCTGGCAACGAGCCTTCGTCCTCTGCTCCTTGATCGCCTTCTCCTCCTTGATCTTCGCCGCTCTGGCGCGTAGATCTAGTCGCGGAGTCTCGGATTCCGTCGAGGGTGCTACCGAGCTGTGAGGACTTCGAGCTTGGAGGAAGAGCTCCTTGAGGTCCGCAGGAGGAGCAGACGGTGGTGCTTGGTCCTGGACAAACTCGTTATAGTCTCTTGTCGCATTCCTCGCCGTCCATTCCCTGCGGACCTTCTCTTCCCGAAACAACCGCGCTCTTCTGTCCGCCGGGGACTCTCTCGCTAGACTGTCCCTCAGTCGTTCTTCCATATCCCGTGCATGGAAATCTTCTCGAAGAAGTTCCATGTTGGTATCCCGGTAAGGATTCCGAGGAGGAAGAACGGAGTCCAGGTCCGCATCCGATCCGAATCCCATTTCCGAGACGGGCGACACCGATGACACTGGCGACACTGGTCGTCGCTCAGACACAGTGTTGTGCCGTCTTCGTTGTTGGATTGTTGGCTGCGATCGAGGTGCTTGTGGTGAGGGATGGGCGTATTGGGGTCTCGTTTGAGACCGCATTGGAGCCTGGGCTCTATGTTGCTCGGCCTCCCGTTGCAACTTCTCTTCTCTCTCCCGCTCACAATACGGACACAACTCCAAGGAGGGTGTTCGAATCGTTTCGGTGAAAGTTAGAGCTTGCTTGATCCGCTTTATGACGGACGGTTTCTGGGGAGCTTGGAAGCTCAAGTCAGGCAGTTCATGACTGCAGGTATAAACAATCTTTTTGATGGTGACAGGCATGATTGCTTATTGCTTGTGGTTTGTTGGGTTGTTGTTTGGCTAATTCTTCGATATCGTCAATTCAAATACAAACTTCTTGTATGGGATGAAGATTATGCAGATGATTTGAAGATAATGATCAGAATGACAAAACAAAATCCTATCCCGGAAGTTCTCGAATCTTATACTCCCAGAAAGGGATTGTTCTGCAACTCCATAGTATTGTTCAGAAAATATTCAACAACATCAACAATGAAGTCGATGCATATGACCTCATAATAAAGCCTACAAGCATCGAACAGATTTGAAGTGGACTTTGTCGTTCTCTTTCCGTATCTGGGTATTCGAATGCAATAGTTTTGGTATGTTGTTGGCGTTAAGTTGTATTCAAATTGTGCTTTCTCATCTAGGGTGAGGATATAAGCATATGGTTGTGAACAAACTCCAAATTGATGGCGCCATTGATAACTACCCCGAGAGTGTAAGTCTTCTGGGTAGTGAGCGAGGAGAGGTAACCCCAACGCTGAAGGGGAAAGAAAGGTCGCATCTAGAGAAAAAAACATGCAAAATCATATACGAATGTATGGTCAAAGAAAGCAGATTATTTTCAAGACAAGCGCGTTTCAGCCAAGGACGGAAGCGTTTGTGGCGCTTATGTGCTGGAATAGAATAGAAGATAGGGCTGAGATGATCTCATAAAAGTTTCTCCTTGTGTTGTGACATGTTCTGGGGTGATTCTCATGCTGTTCTGGAATAAATTGGTGAAAATGATATTCGGGCGTTCCAATGGGAAGTTCCGCGTGGTTTCGACGCCAAGACTAAACTAAAGGCTCGATCTATTTTGATACATGTCGTAGGACATGTCGAAGGGACAAGAAAAGTGCGACAATGTCGTTTTTATTCTTTGTAGATTCCATGTTTGATAATAAAGAAGCCAATTCACGATAAAGAAACTACATAATCTTTGTCAAAACCCTCATCTTCAAACAATGGCCAGAAGAATCTACTTAATTCGGACAATAGCCATTGTAAATTCCCCAGCTCATCCTCTCAGAAACATCAAGTCCAGTCTTCGAGTTACAAAGCCATACAACTTTATATATCTTTATACTTCAATTAAACAAACAACACCACACAAACCCAGCTCCATTTCCAACATGTCTACCAGAACATCTTTCAAGCCAGTCGAGGTGCAGGTAGTGTATGGAGGGTGCGGACACGTTTTGAGAAAGACCCAGGTAATCCCCATCCAAGTTTCCACAGGCGGAGAGACGTCCAAGACCAAGAAACGCACCAGCTCTACTTCATCTAACACATCTAAATCATCTCGTCGCAGCAGCTGGAAATCCTTCCTCTGCGCGGGCGCAGAACAAGCTGAGAGTGACTCTGACAATGAAACAGATCTTGTATTCCAGTGTGCAGGACTTGAACTCGTCGACAATATTGATGGCTTGTGTCCAGACTGCACTACCCGACAAAGCCGCTTACTTGTCCAACAACAAGCACGAGGTGCCGAAATCATCCGCGCTCAGATTGCTCAAGAGCAAGATGATGAGCGTGAACGACAACGCCGAGGCTATAGACGCATGGAGGACAGACGTACCAAGTTCAGATGCGGTAAATGTATCAAAGAAGATCGTCATCCTATCGACCGATCGGCAAATGATGGATTCTGCTGCGAATTTGGACAATCATTCTGGAATGCTAAGATACCCGATGCTGAACACTTTTCAGTCCCTACTGCGGAAATGAAGCGCATGACAGTTGGTAAATCTGAGGCAAGACACGCTGCAACCAAGGCAGCCAATTCCTATGGATGGAAATCCCAACCTGACCGATTCAACAGGATTGAACCAGAGGTTATTTCACAATTCATTGGAATCCCCGGATCCCAGCCTGCATCTTTACCCGCTCCAGTAGTCCCCAGATATGAGGATGCTAACCTAGACATCGATCGATGGAACTCTCAGGTCCGAACATATCGAGGTACTGTACCCGCACCAAATAAACCACTCCCTCCAACTCCATTGACAAGAAAGCCTCGGGCTACGCCAGTGAGAAAGAACCCAACCGCTGGACGGAAAGAGGCTGACGAGATAATTCCGCTCAAGACCAAGGACTCAGATGTGTCTGTCATGACATCCCTAACAAAGAGTGGTGAGGTGTCACCAGTGTCACCCACCAACAGTCATTGGCCATCTAGCCTTTCTAGACCGTCAAGTGTTACTAGACCAAAGACACAAGATGGGGAATACAACTTGAGGAGACAGATGTCTAATCTTGAACACGAAATCGATGGTGCATTGGAGAGTTGGACCCAAGAAGAAACAGAACCACTACCACAGGAGAGAAGACGCAGAAGATGATTTCTCTTTATACAAGATTGAGCTACCATAAGAAAAGAGGCAAAAAAAATTACACTCATTAGTTTCATTTATTAATTCCCTTTGTTGGCTTTTTATAAAAGGATCACGGTCTCCCTTTCCTTTTGTTAGACCCTTTTATTTGTTTCATGACTTTCAGGAATAAATGGCGGAGAAGAAAATCTAGACAAGCAAAAACTTATTAAAATTTGACAAACAAATTTACAATATGAAACAGAAGTCACTATGTGAAATGATGATGTATAAAATGTGAAATGAATGAAAAGTATAGGCTGTGAGGCAATATAGTAGTTATTGGAATGAAATTGTAAGCAGTATATTAGTTGCCAAGAGCGCACCATGACATTACATGGCATGGATGTGGTTGCATGTTGCGTGGTTCTCTTATTACCCTTGTGACATAACATTTAGTCACGTCAAACAGCCGGTGGTCTTGCTGACATTGGTCATGACGTACGAGTAGGTATGTAGTATAAATCCAAACACGTTGATTTCCCTAGGCATGCAGATGAAAGTGGACGAGTAGTATTCGAAGGACTAAACATGGTATTCTCTGCATATCAAAAACTCGCTTGCAAATTTACAATTGAACCAAGAAATTGGGAAACGCCTCGTACCTCAAAAATAACTCCACCTAATGGGCTTATCCTTCCGAAAAGACTTCACTTCCTGCGAAAGCTATTCTTAAGTTTGCTACCAATCTAAGGCGAGCTCCGTTGACCTTCTGAATAGAATGCCGCCTCTTCCATTGCGCTCATGTCCACCTTTCCTTCCCTTACCCTCCGTGGGCTTCCCCCTACGTTGCTTGTCTGTGTGATATATCTCGATCCCATAGCGGGATTTCAATTGGCTTTGCCGTTTTTAATGGTACCGTTCGACTGCTCGGCTTTAAATTTGGCGATCTCTTTCTCAACTGCAACATCGATCCTCTTTTGCAATTCTGGTCTGTATCCAAATATAAATAGCAACTCCATAAATACGAAGAATGGAGCGAGGACTAAAGCTTGTACGAGGTTGTCGAGTAATGCGGGGGCACGCTTTTCGAAAGCACCATGGCCGACAAATTGCATAATCCACGAGGCAAAGAATACAGCACCAGCGATTTGATTTGCCAAAGTAGTATTTGAAGAGGTAGCAAGGATGTGATTTGAGAATGCGGTCCATCCAATAATGAATGGGAGAAGAATACTGCCTGCGACCGGTTCGAGAAGGATGTAAAACCCGCTGTAGCATATTGATCCAATTGTGCTAAAGTTCAAAGGTAAATTCGGAATCGTAAGCCATGATGGCAGAGGTATTAATGTGGGACTGTTGGAGCACTGTTAAAAATTGTCAGCATGCTTGTCGTCCTCATTCTCAAGGTCGCGAAAACCTTGGGGCCATACAAGGAACAGACTGGTGGCCAGAATCAATGGCACACCTATCATATGAATGACACCATTTGTAGGATTGTGATGGTAGGCCCCGTACTATATTCGAACATTAGCCTATGTCTAGTAGAGTCGTAATATTCGCCCGCACTCACAAAGGTAAGCTGTTTCTCAAGGTTGAGAGACATTTTGAAGAAATGATCTGATGCGACAGGTTCAAAATCTTTGCGGATGTCTGCGATATTTAGGAATGAAGAAGCAAATATGATTGAGAGCTTGATTTGATGGTTCAAGGTTGAGGCGCAGTCATTAACTCATCGAAAATGTAGGAATTCTCGGGAGGAGTACGAGCACAGAGTCGAGAGATAGAGGGGGAGGGAGAGTGGATCGGATATGATAGAGAAGGTAAAGGAATTCAAGGTAATCAATACATCAATTCAGCCAATTTTGTCTATTCAAGCTGGTCGCACTGAGAAGGATAGTTGGAATGAAATGAATATCAAGGTGGAAGCATGTGGTGAATTGTGAACCTCGAAATCAGAATATGAGGTGGGTGATATTTCGGAATCCTCGCAAAGAGTGTTACGGAGAGCGGCAGAGCAGAGTGGCATGTCATTTTCGTAATTGGTATTAGTAATCAATCATCAATTCTATTCACCATGCTGCATACAGTTAGTAAGTATCTTATACCTTTATATACGCATTGACCAGCGCATATTTGATCCTTAACGTCGCGGGAAAAGTCTCGAAACTCTTTAGATCGCGTAACCTTCAACGTCGGGACAATTGAGCTTCCTCTCTCATTCTCGACTCCTCCTATTTTCAATACTTATAGATTTTTTCCCCCAATAATCACAATTCCAAACAACAGCATCGACAAACCTTTGCGCATGCTCTGTCGTATCTTTCAGAGATCTGCCAAAGTGTCACGTCTTTGCAATTTCATTCATTTTCAAACATGTATGTTGAAAGTTGTCTGTTTCCGGCTTTGTTGAACTCCGACTCGAAAACAAAGAAGACTGACAGTTCACAGAATAGTAAGATTGACTCGGCACAACAACCTTTAGGCGGACTTTGCGATTCGAAAGAGATTCAACATTTATATGGGATTGGGTGAATAACTTGGGGTTTAGAGCAGGCTGAATATTAAGAGTTAATGAGGGAAGGCTCTCGAATTATCAAACCTTGTCTCGATAGACAAATATAGTTAAACTCCGCCTCCTTTCAATAATTTCACCTTCTCTACGACATTGCAAGTTTCTGCCAAGAAGGAGGATTGTTGTGTTGCAGCGCAATTCCAAAGTTACATCAAACTTACCAGAAGAGGCATTGATATTACAATCCTGAAATTCTATCCACTTCGCTATCTATTTCGCTCCTCACCATTAAAAATGTTTTTTCTCTACAATCTTGAGCGTCAGGTCACCCTGCACCCATCGTACTTTGGTCGCAATATGCATGAGTTGGTGACTGGCAAGCTATTGAAAGATGTTGAAGGAACATGTACCGGTCTCTACTACATCATCACAATTATGGATACCTTCAACATTTCTGAAGGAAGAATCCTTCCAGGAAGTGGATTGGCTGAGTTCACTGTTGGATATCGTGCTGTAGTGTGGAGACCCTTCAAGGGCGAGGCTGTAAGAACTCGATTTTGTGAATTCATTTAACGTGCATTTCTCATGAACATATGTAGGTCGATGCTATTGTAACCTCAGTCAATGCGGTTGGTTTTTTTGCGGATGCTGGTCCTTTGCCCCTCTTTGTATCTGCACATGTAAGTTTTGTTTATTGTTGGTATGTGATCCATACTAATTCAATGCAGCTGATTCCTCGTGACATCAAATTCGATGCAAATGCAACACCACCTCAATTTACAAACAATGAAGACTCCGTCATTGAGCCAGGTACTCATGTCCGAGTAAAGATTATCGGTACAAGACCTGAAGTTGGAGCCATGTTTGCTATTGGTAGTATCAAAGAGGATTATCTCGGGTGAGTTTCCCCTCTGAATTTGTTACATTGAACAATCCCAATTAACTTCATGTCTAGCTGTTTGCAAGCATCGTGATTCTTGATATAAGTCAGCCTTAACTAAACCCTCAACACCTTTCAAGCATGTTCCAATCATAACTTCAGGTTTTTATGATGCAAGGCCTAAGCTTTCTTGACCACACCACTATTGTCATTTCATGGAGATATGACCTACCCCAGCGCTCAATCCTTTGAGCTCTGAGGTTTAATAAAGTCCACCAGCTTCACTGTGGTAGAAATTTGGGTGACTCAATGTTATAAATGGATAGATGAATGGATATCTATCTCACAAGTATTCCTGCTAGTGTTATTTGGTGATTGATTCTGTGAGACTCTAGCTAGGTATTTTCATTTTCTTGGTTCAATGGTCATATAACAAACCCAAACATTTTTCTCCTGGAATATACCACATCATGTATTCAAACTTTATTGTAAGAACGGCGCAATTGCAACCCAGTTATCACATTGCATGCGTTATTAGATCCAGTTGAAGAACTCTTTTGGTGCTTATATTAGTTGGTGTTGTTAGTACTTGTTGATAGTTCAACTCAGCATGGAGCAACAACTTATTGGTTCTTTGTCACTAAGAATCAATTCCGAGATTTCGAGATTTAGTTTTGGTATATGATTATGAACAAATGATGAGTCTGTATGCCAGCCTACTCTAGATGAATGCAACTGTGTTTTGAAATGCGAGTAAAAGATTTAGTGTAGCTCCCTGCACAATATCATATTTTTCGTTAATATATGGATCATGTCGGGAAATCTACTTTTTGATGAATGTTAATACAGCAACTCGCTTATTAGCGAATAGAGCTCCAGTATACTGGCATGTCGTTTCCATATATATGTTCTGTGTTTCTGTATGTATCGCTTTCTACACCTAGGCTACCTATTTACGTCTCGTATGCAACAACTTTCTCGATACGGCAGATATCTCACCCCGTTTCTTCTGTTCTCAATGTATATTACGGTCTCTTCAGCATCATATATCATGACATACTCGACACCATAGAACAACTTACCACTTCATCATCATTTACTGGATATTAAATGAACTCTTTACCCATTAAGCTGCATCCAATAATCTACCATCTCCCAAAACCGATTAGTCATTTTCGAACTAGCAACCCTCACAACTTCACTATGGCCAACTCGGCCATCAGCGATCGATACATGAAATACGTTAAGCAGCTAACCCCCTCATGCAATTGCCACCAAAACCACATCGTATGTCACCACCGCAGTTCCATCGGCGCCAGCGCCATCCAGAAAACCAAGATCCTCGAGGAAACGGACATCGGACGCTGTGAATGTCTTGCGATTGAACCGACGATTCCACCACCCCAGCCGGAGACATATACTGGACATCTTGCTGTGCTTCGCAATCCTACGCATAGAGAATGGGGATCGAGACCCCATCGATATCTCTCGCCTACGCTGTGTAATATCTCGTCGTGTTATGTGAAGCGGTTTGTGGAACCTCTTGTGAGAAAAAACCTTAGTAGGGGAGAATGGACGGGGAGACATGAGTTTACGATGGCGGTGGTGCAGGTAGAGGAAATTAGGACGCTGCGTGATAAGGGAGTGACGTATCGGAAGGAAAAAAGTAAATATATTGATAAAGTCAATGTACAGAGGAAGAAACACTATGAATTCGAACAACAGGTTGAGATTCTGATGACAAAGATCCAAGAAATCAGATGGAAGAGAGAGAAAGAAGAGGAATTGGGTGATTTTCTTGAAAATCTGGTTGGGTGTAAGGAAAGTGCGGAACAGAAACGAGAATTTGAGGAACAGAAGAGAGAGTTTTTGGAAACGAGGGAGAAGTTGAAACGGGGGAGTGAATATTTTGTTAGGAGTATGGAGGATGATTTGAGATTTGCGGAGAGGAGTGAGGATAGTGGGTTGGTAGAAAAGATTGCGCGGAGTGGGGAGTTGGTTTTAGGGTATTTGGGTGGGTATTTGGAGGAGGTGGATGAGAATGTGTGGAGGGATCAAGAAAAGGAAAGGGAGGAAGGGGTGAAACGGAAGAGAGAGGGGGGGGAAGGGGTGGAGAAAAGGAAGAAAGCGGGAGGGGATGCGGGTGTGGGGGAAAACATCAAAATGGAATGAGTTAATGAATCGCTGAATCTTTTTCTTGATGTTTCTACTGGCGTTAAGACGGATCTTGATTGTTAATCATGTGGAGATGAGGGGTGTATGGATTTTGATCTTGTTAGCTTGAGCTGGTTTATATTTCCATCTCATAAGAGACATGAGCAGTTACTATCATCTCAGCAAGTATTTAGGATACCTATCGAGGGTTAGAAACTATTTGAGGAGAGCTATGATACTTCAATTGACTTTATGGAATGAATATACACTGTGCTATGATATGATTGATATCCTTATTGTCCTTTATATCTGTGGATGGGTATGGATTGAATCTTTACTTTGTACACGTCAGGAGTGTATGTAAACGTGGACTAGACATTAATGGTGTCTGTCTAGTATTCACTGTTCGAAGAACCTGTTGGCAAGTTTTTGTTGAAATATGACTGATGATTCTGGACTCAAAGACCTAGATGTATCAATCTTTGCTCTGGGCTCTGCTGAATAGATAGGAAAACATCAGTACAAGACACAGATTCATGTTGTGTTTTTCTATCTACTATTCTTATTCATAATACAGCATGCTAATCGTTTGTGGGAATTTCTGATATCTATATGTATTTCTTCTAAACCGTGAAGCAAATATAAAGGACATGGGTTGTGGACGGGGTGTCTTGGTCAGTTGAATACAGCTTGAAGTTGTGTTTTGATAGTACCTTGAGGAGTAAGTAAAGTCCTGGCGTTCTTATTAGTAGAGTTGAACTGAACTGTGGGAGAATTGATTGAGATTAATGGTTTTGGTGTTTGAGATTTGTGTAAAAGTCCTAGAAATAATAATAGATGGGACAAACTTCATAATCACGGGTTGCACGTAGAACATATTGTGGATTTTCGGGCACAAGTGCAAAATTCTCCTGAATCTTTTAGTAAGTACAAATCTCCATAATGATAGTGTTGTTATCTATTAAGTAAGTACTGATGGTTTCTCTCGCCATAATTTACTTCACTGCCAGCGTCATGCAAACTTGTATTCTGAATGTTACAAAATACGGTACATCAATCTCTCAAATTTCAAAATATACGAATAATTACATTTGGAATATCCTTTCCCAAAGAAAATAAAGACATCGATTGCTTAAATCAAAGAGTCATATCTTGAATCCTGCCCTTTTACTTATGCTCCTCGTATCCTCGTTTTCTCTTCATTCCTTCGAAATGCTGGTATGGTGTACCCCCAAGCCCTGTTTTAAATGCCATATGAGTTAAATGTACATACAGGTATCTAGCCGGCTCACCATGTACGGTGAGGAGGGCGGATTCCGGGGGGCCATACATAACATAGTTCTCTAGACCTTTGTGAGTCACGACAAGCTGGAGCTGCCCATTTGTCATTCTCACAAGAGCGTTATTGAGTTGATCTTCGTCATAAAAGTTTAACCTTTGTTGGTCGCCGAATCTTGGAATCGTTTCAACCCAGTCCCTTAAAAATTTCTCTTTGGTTAAGCCTCGCGTCCATGGCTCGTTGCGATACTGATTATGAAGAGACAGTACCACAGCTGCAGCACCACATGTACCATACTTGCCGGAAACTACAGCTGTCGTGAAGAGTGTCTCCCATTCATTAATAGAAAAATTCTTTATCGTCAACCTCTCATGCACGGTGCCAGCGTTGATAAGTTCAAGCTCCTCTAGCCCAATTTTTGTGGGCTTAGGGTGATCAACTCGGAGCTCGGCACCGACAGACGATCTTCCATATCGGTCTAATAAGTCTTGTTCTTCAATCTGGTGTAAGCTCACTGCAAAGCGCTCGTCAGCTTCCGCCTGCAACCTTTTAGCTTCTATCATCGCAGCACTGTCTGCGGTGTGTGGTGGCTTTGCGTGTTCTGGAAGCCACGATTGATGGCTATCTGAAAAGATGGAGATGGCCTTTGCTATTGTTTCTTTATTCGCGTCGCCAGTGTTGTGCAATTGCTCCATTGCTTCTCTACGGATCGATTCATCTTCCAAAAATTGGAGACTTTCGAGAATCTCGAGGACTCCATCGACTGTCAGTGACCCTGTAGGCTTATAAGCAGTGGATGGAGGAGAGATCTTCGGTCTTTTTGGATCTTTTCCACCTGGTAAGGGTCCACCTGTTGGTGGTCTTTTGCCTGAAGCAGGAACAGGTCCTATTACCGGCGCAGGCTTAGGAAAAGGTTTGAGTCTCTTATTGTATTCTTGCTCCAAGGTCTCTTCTGCGGGTCTTTTCCCAGGAGGTTTTTTGCCTGTATCTGGGAGTGAAGGATAGATAACTTCCGTTGTTGCTCCAGTGACTTGAGGTTTCACCGGTGTATTTGGCACATGATGATAGGTTATACGATTTATCGGGGCCTCATATTTGTCAATAAAAGGGAATTTACTCAAAGGAAGGCTCTAGGTGACTTACAGTTGTGACTTCGGGTCCTACATTTGTAGTACTTGAAGTGTTAATGCCGCTAAACCAGCTAAGACCGCCCACTCTGGGAGGAATTTTGGGTACAGCTCCAGATGGTGGGATCTTGACCTCGACGGGTTCAGGTTTTGGAGGTTTAGGTTTTGAAGGTCTAGGCTTCAATGGTTTAGGCTTCAAGGGTTTAGATGTTCCTGTGATCACACTTTCGTGAGTGTCGTCGGCGTCATGTGACGGCTCTTCTTCTTGTGCTACTGGCGTTTCGATTTTTGCTTCTGGAATTTTCGGCCTTGTTTTGAAAGGAGTTGGTGTATCTTGTTGGGGTACATAGACACCTGTATCTATATGCCACGGCTTATCTGGCGGAAGATCACTATATATACCAACGCCATGTATAATATCGTAATCTGAATCATAGCCTGTGTCTGCCCAAGGTTTAGGGAATACAGGTTTCTCATCATCATCAGGCACATAATCTGGATTATCTATGTCTGCTCCGTCTGACGGAAGTTCAGGGGAATGCACTTCACCACCTGTTCCTACGTTTTCCGGCCTTGGCTTAGATGGAGTCACTGGAGGCTTAGGTTTCTGTGATGGTTGATTGGGTTGTGAGCTCCGCACTGGCTGGACTTGTGGGGGAATTTTTGGCGGAGGCTTCGATGGTGTAGGTTTTTGAGGTTTTGGTTGTTGAGGATTTATTGGATGTGCAGTAGCTAGATCTCTGGTAGTCGTGTTGAAGTATGCAGCAAGTGATTCCATAGCACTTTCTGCTGGGGGAATACTGGATCCTCCACCGACGGCTGCATTGAAATAAGGATCATTTTCGGTTCTCTCTTCCAATCTTCTTATCAACCTCGCTCTAGCTTCTGACACAACTCTCGGTTTTTTGGGCTTTGCGGGTTTTTTTCCTGGGAGCGTCCTTGGTTTCTGAGTCGGAGAGAAAAGTCGAGGTACTATCAATGGGGTTGGCCGCTGTACGGGCGATTGTCCCGGTAAGGTAGGATATTCCACCACACCTGTTTCACCACTTGGCGGTAAGGTAGGATATTCCACTACACCTGCTTGACCACCTGGCGGTGGCGGAGGCATTCCACCTGGTGGCGATCCTCCAGGTGGTTTAGGTGGTCCTCCAGGCGGTTTGGGTGGTCCAGGAGGCTTTGGAGGCTTGGGGGGTATCTTCTCCTTTTCTCCGGGAAGCTTTTCAGTGTCACTTCGGTTGTCTTCCTCTCTAAATCCCATGTATTTGGCAACTTTGCTTCTCCAAAAGTCTGTACTCCTTTCGCTCAGCTTCATAGCATCCATTAATCTGAATATATCAACTTCTTCCATGGCGTCATCATTTTCACCAGACCATTCTTTAATTCTTTCGTCTGGGTTAAAAACATAATATTCTGCAAGCCGCACCAAGCTCAAGCAGAAATCGACCCATTGAGTGACATCCTTTACGTTGAGTGAACCGCGAGCTTGTCGGAACTCGATGGTATGAGCCCGGTTTGAGGATCTCAATGATGTGAAATTTACTAGCCTGTTCGCGAATGTCAAAGGAAAACCCATATAACCAGCGACTTCCTTCTCATCCCGCAGTTGATCAACTTCATCGCGAATTTGCTGGATTGTTCTTCGTTTTCTATAGAGAGATGTCTCCGCTCGCTGATCCCAGATCTCATAGACTGTATCCTCATATGTGACATAATCCGCACCCAAGAGCGTGTGCAAGCGATTACTAATGAGATTGCCCCTTGCAACAGGATGACCAGGACGACGACATCTAGGGTGTAGCCTTGAGATCTCCTCTTCATATATCAACAAAATGCACGCCAACTCTTTCAGTGTAGCAAGATCGGGGGCCTCGACATGCACATGTAGGGCACATTGATTTGTTATGAAGCCTTCATATAGATCATCTCCGGTACCTTTGAGCGCTGTGACAATGTCTTCAAGCTCGGCCGTATCTCTACGATCGTTGCTCTTGAGAACTCGAGATACCACTTCTATGCCATAAGAATCCCATCGTTTAGAAGTTCTGCCAGAGATACGTGGTATCCATTTATAGAGATTTGCGGAGCCTTGGCCGACAACCGTAAAATCTGTCGAAATGATCCATTGATCGTATGACCCTTCAGTTTTATCCTTCTTTTTTCGCAAACCTGTGTGCTTGATATTACCTTCAAGCCATGCAACCTTGTTGTTAAGTTTATTCAAGACTATTTCTTGTGGTTCGAGATTATACGGCCTTAGCATAGATATACCCTTCTGCTTGTCCTCATCTTTGACATTATGTTTGCGAATGGCCCAACTGTTGTAAATGATGTTGGCAAGTCTTCCAAAGGGCACGTTGACCGCTGGACTCCATGCCGGGTCGCGACGAATGGCCAATGGAACATTTTTCTCAATTCCATGGTTAGGACCATGCCCCTCACGGTCTGTAAGATCGAGTTCTAGATCATGAAATGCCAACACGTATTCCAATTCGACACCATACTTCAGACTCTTTCGCTTGGATTTTGGTTTGTCCACGGTTTGCAGTTGAAACGGATTCGGGGCGGGGAGTGTATAGATAAAAGGCGAAACAGCGCGGTGAATCCAGTCGAAAATCATATTGCAGACCGTTGATCTTGTAGCTTTTCTTAGATTCTCTGCGCCACGACGTTTGAGAAATGGAAGCTGTAGATAGGAAACTGACTGTTGTAAAAAAGGAAAATTATCCTTTGATAATACGAAAACGGACTCAGACAAAGATACACATAGTCAAAAAGGATGAAAGTCGATATAAGAAAGAAAACAATCAAAATAAGAAACTCCTTTGTTCCAGCGGATGGCATTTTACAATTCAATTAAAGTGCTCTCGTTATCCGCCTGACTACATGGTGAGAAGACCGAGATCGATTACTTCCGGAGCCCTAGTCAGCACATCCTTATTGAACAAGAATTACAAGACTACTCATATAGAAGAAACAATCTGTTGCTAATTAAAATGATAATTATTTGGAATATTTCGGACAAAGCAACACGTGAGAATGCATGCTGCGTAGCCTAGCTAGAATCCCTAGATAGAATGACGAATGGTCTAAGCACTTGATGCAAGACTATGTGATCGAAAATGAATGAAAACGCTGTGAAGCCATAAACGTATGTAAAACAAAAAACACACACACAAAAGAAACTCGCCTTGCCCTGTAACGACATCCATTAAAAGCTCAAATACAATTCCCGGCTAGAAAAATAGGGATAAGAGCCACCACCATTCCAAGTCGCTTAGTCATGTGTAATAGATGACCTTGAAGAGTAGACATAGGAAGTAATCGATGAAATAGATGGCATTGCAATATCTAGCATGAAGCAAATATAAATCCAATCAATTCTTAATCCTCGTTTGCATCTGATTCCTCGTCCCCATCCTCCCTGGGGATCGCTGTCTCAACCTCAATCTTCCTGATATTTTCTGCAGATCCCAATGATACAGATGAAACTCGGTGCACTTAAATAGACGGATCAACATCACTTGGTCTCCAAGCTCTGGAAGTTGGCGATTGCAGAGACTTCAGTTTATATGTGAATTTCAACGGAAAGTCTTCGATTAGGAGAACGGCGCAGCACTCCACGTTGAGTTATCAGGATTTTGGAGTATAGTGATTGTATCGAAAGTGTGCCTCTCATCAGGAATGGTCGCAGTTGGGACAACAGCAGGTTTGCAAGCTTTTTCAGGCTCAGATTTGGTGGTATTAACTAGTGCCTCTGTTGCCTTTTTCTTTAAATCTTTTGCCCTTTGTGCCGCTTCTTGAGTTGCTTGTCGCATAGCTAATGTAATAGTCGTTTCTGCAGCCCCAGAAGGTTTCGTATTAACAGATTTGGGTGTCGATGCGGGAGGAGCAGCAGGAGCCACAGCTGGCTTGTTATTCTCTTTTAACTTGGTTGGAGGCTCTGCTTGGATGGCTGGATTTGCACCAGGTCCCGACACAGGTACAATCTTGATGTGTTGCTTCAATTCGCCGTATTCGTTCCAGTCCTCAATCTCCACGAGGTCCTGAAATTGTTAGTAATGTTCTCTATGACATTCGATTTCAACATACACCAAGAACCAAACCTTCCTGAACTAAGCCTGGGATCTTTCTAGTACGTCCCGATTCATCTTTACCAGCTCTGCGACCCCATAGCATTCGTGCCTTCTCATCGGTCGCAATATCAAGCGCTTTGAATGGGATTCTGTTCGCTTTCAAGATCGTCTCTAACCTCGATGTCGCAGTAACAATGTGCGATGAACCGGAAGTCAATGATGTGTATAGGTAGAGAGCAGGATCGGTGGAATACGAAGCAGAAGAAGACGAAGCCATATCTGTTAACTTTGAAGCTTGAAGTGCGAAATGTATAGTGTTGTGACTGATGTAGTTCGTCGACGACGACAAAAGGGATGAATGGGCAGCTTGGTAATTTTGGGGTTTGATATTTATAATTAGAACTTCGTAAAATGAATTTGAGTATTCATAAAAGCTTTATATATTTCGAAATAGCATAAATCCGAGACGTTTTGGCAGGAGTATTAAGGGACCGTGAATGTCATTTCCCGTTGAGCGCATTGTTTCAGTGTCAAGCTTATCGGCACCAACCCATTGATAAGAGCTCTAAATCCCGAGGGAGCGAGCACTGAGCCAAGATCAATATCTTCACACAACAAAATATGCCAACTTCTAATGGTGCTCAGTTAGTAGCCCGCGCTCTCAAAGACCTGGGAGTGGAGGTTATATTTGGTCTGGTTGGTATACCGGTGGTGCAAGTTGCGGAAGAAGCAATTGCTGTAGGAATACGGTTCATTGCATTCCGAAATGAACAAGCTGCAAGCTATGCTGCCACAGCATATGGGTACTTGACAGGACGGCCTGGAGTTTGCCTCGTTGTCGGTGGCCCAGGTGTGATTCATGCAATGGCAGGCATAATTAACTCATCTGCCAACGCCTTTCCAATGCTTTTACTAGCAGGCTCGAGCGAAACTCATTTGATCACAAAAGGAGCTTTTCAAGAGCTTGATGCTATTTCTCTTTTGAGTCCGCATACGAAAATCGCAATACGATCGAACCTCGATTCAATATCACATTCGATTACGGCAGCTTATAGAACGTCATAGTATGGCAGGCCTAGAGCAGGTTTCGTTGACTTGCCCGCAGATATTATACAAGGAGAAGGAGAAAACATATCAACACAGATAGTGCCTGCTGCGCGACGAGCCGCAGGAGATGCGGAAAGTATAACAAAGGTTGCACAACTATTAAAGTCTGCAAAAGCACCCCTTGTTATTGTTGGAAAAGGTGCCGCATACGCGCAAGCCGAGTCTGTAATTCGACAATTGATCGACCAGACCAATATCCCTTTTCTACCAACTCCTATGGGAAAGGGAGTTTTGCCCGACTCTCATCCATCCAACACAGCAACAGCTAGATCTGCAGCACTTAAAGGTGCCGATGTCGTTCTCGTTCTTGGTGCACGACTCAACTGGATACTCCATTATGGCGAAGCACCAAAATACAATCCGAATGTCAAGATAATTCAGGTTGATATATCTGCGGAAGAAATCGGAAAAAACAACGGTCACGCCAAACTTGGAATAATTGGTGATATTAATGTGGTGGTAAAACAACTAAGTGATTCTCTACAGGGCTGGAAATATGATACATCTTCAGTATACATAAAGGAACTGAGAGCAAGTAGAAGCAAAAATGAAGCAGCCGCTGCTGCAACTGCGAAAGTTGATAAATCACCAATGACATACGGTCGAGCTTTTGATGCCATCAAGGAAACCATTCACAAATTATCTCCACCAAAAAATGGTGGCGTAGTTTATGTATCTGAAGGCGCAAACACCATGGATATCTCACGTAGTGCATTTCCCGTAGAGCATCCACGATTGCGTCTTGACGCTGGAACTCATGCCACAATGGGTGTCGGTCTGGGATATGCCATTGCAGCTCATTGTGCGTATAATCTACCGTCACGAGAAGCACGAAGCGGAGCAAACTCTTCCCACAAAAAGATTATTTGTTTAGAAGGCGATTCTGCTTTCGGGTTCTCATTGGCAGAGGTTGAAACAATGGCGCGGTACAGTATGGATATTCTTATCTTTGTTATGAATAATGGTGGGTTGTATCAAGGTGATAGCGAAAGCTCAGATGAGTGGTTGAAGCTGCAAAAGAACAGTGAAATGGGTTCCAAGGGAGGCTTACGTAGTACAAGTCTAGGATGGGAAGTTGATTATCAAAAAGTTGCAGAGATGTGTGGTGGGAAAGGATTCCTAGTCCGTAGTCCTGACGAGCTTTCAAAAGCTACTGAAGAGGGGTTCAAAGCGAGTGTGCCAGTGATCATAAATGTTATCATAGAAGCGGGAGCACAGAAGACTTTGGTAAGTTTGTTACCAATTAGTTATGGTTACCTGACTAATTTGTTGTCAGGAGTTCGCATGGCAGCAAGATTCGAAGAAGTGGTCAAACAAAGCAAAGCTGTGAAGTCGTTTGAGAATATTCTAATGAGGCAGGGGTAGCCGGCTATAACTTTGGAATCGCTACTTCGGCCAATCGGGAAGGTGCATGAATCGACTCACTCAACCTTTCAACATCCAATACAAGTAGGGACACAAGAAGTGATATCTTTGACTTTCGATTATTCCAGCAAAGTTCTTTTTTGTTCTATTGATAGATTCCTATACAGGAGGCAAATCCATGTCCATGGCTGAAAAATGGTTTTCACTTGCATCTTCTGAAGGAGCCGTTCAAATGCAAAGCTGCAAGTTGGCTTGAATATTGAAACATGCAATGGACCGTTGGTAGATACGCACCTTTATGTAAGAATTTTTAGTTTCATTATTGTTCTCCACCTTTTTCTTCTTCTTTGTATTGACGTCGGGGCTCTTAGAATGTATATTGGCGCTAAATATCTGTAAAATGATTAGACCGTTCATAACTGTATCTTTGGTTACAATCTGATACCTGTGCCACGTATTGTTTCTTGCTTCGCGTTCATATCACACATCGATATACCAGGTCGTCTCTATGAACCTCAGTACATAACACCCCTCATCAACCCACCCGATGTGCTGGCCCGCTCTTTACTCTATTCGCAAAAAGAAAACCAAAGGCAAAATGTTTGACGGAGCCAAGTCTCCCAAAGATAAATATCAATCCGAACGCACTATCCGTGTCGACGCTATGCCTCCTCCTTATCGATCCACATATGTGGTCGAACCAACTCTCGTACCTGTTAATTCTTACCACGAAAGTATGTACTATGCTCAAGAACGAGAACGAGAACGGGAAAGAGAACGCGAGAGAATACTAGACTTCGAGCGGGAGAGGGAAAGAGAAAGAGAAAGAGGACGAAGACCGAGCTGTTCAGATCTCTTCCATAATATCGATGTGATACAACGTCTAGGCGAAAGATTCAAGGGGTTGAACACGACTTTTTCGCACCCACCGACCCCAGTGTCCCTTGCGAACCCTAGCGCAGCCAGTCGTACTTCTTCAAGTGCTGGTAACAACAACACAAATGCTCGAACGCAGACACAGACACAGACACAAACCCAAACAAACGAGAGTTTTGCGAACACGACAATCTTGGCAGCGAGAATTAAAGAGCTAGAAAGGGAGAAAGAGTTAGCGAGAGAAAAGGAAATCGAAAAGCTGAGCGGTGGATTGAATGGTGTTCGGGGAGATATCAAGGGGTTGCAGATGAAATCTGAGAGGGAAGAAGGGAGAAGAAAGGGGAGAATAGAGGGGATGGGTATCAAGATTTTGAGTACTGGGAATATACTTCCATTTGGGGAAACATGGATCAACACAAATGGGGAAATTAATACTTTCTCGGCACCCCGCGGCCAAGATCGAGAAATCGAGACATCGAGACGAAGAAATGAGACGGAAAAACAGAATACGCAGAATGGAGTTGATGAGGAAACTATTTTTCGCAGGATAGATGATAAGTTTGCGGAGGGAAGGATTGATCGATTGGCGGATGCGGAGAGAGCGTTTGGAGAGCGACAACGGGAGATGGTTGCGGTGATGGGGAGAGGTAGGGATAATGAGAGTGCGGTTAGGATGAATAGGTTTGAGGATAGAGTGGAGGGGTGGGTGGAAAGGGTTGAGGATCGGGTGGAGAGGATTGTGGAGAGGGAGATGGGGAGGGGAAGGGTATATGGGGAGGGTGTAGGAGTTAGGGATAGGGACAGGGATAGGGAGAGAGAAAGAAGAGATAGGAGTGAGGTTGGACGAGAAAGATATGCGAGACCTAGAATTATGAGAGAGAGGGAAAGGGAGAGAGATTGGGAGTATGGATATGAGAATAGAGCTGTATCTGGGGGGGCTAGATATCGAGGGTATGTGTAGATGGCTTGACTGGATGCTATTTGTCAGAGCTACTTTCATTAGAAGTGATGGGCGTGGGTGTTTGGGTCTTGAATATTGCATCGAATTTCATTTTGTTTGGCTATGATTATGTGTAGAGTTTATGCATTCTAGTGAATCGTCCTTTTTTGGTTTTCTTCTCGGCACATCTCATCTAATATACTGTAGGGATGTAATGTGATTGCTCGGTTCCAAAACCCCATACAGTAGGTAGTCACAGCTATGGTGTCTTGGCCATGTTGTCATTAATCTCGCAGATATCGAGTTTGGTACAAGGCATTGTTTTTCGTCTGAAATATACTGAATAGAATATTTCACTGCGCTATCATACCCCAACATTGCTCGGGTAGATTTTACCAGACTTCTCACTTCACACTTAAGTCTTTTTCGTCCTTACAACAAATACTGGTCAAATAATTCATGGAAACGAAATTCTGAACATATTCTCATTTAACTCCAGACGCAAAAGAGTGACCCATGTCTTCCAAGTTGCTCAAGAGAAATTACCCGCAGTGTAACAACTTTCACAAAAGTACTTCTCCAATCAAGTCGGTAGATCATCCACCTCATATCGAAATAGAGTATATTGCCTTAGCAGATCCGCGCGACTCTTCAAGCGCGCGCGTCCATATCCCCACTCGTTGATGGTACTCGCATGGACTAGGCGTCAAAATTCCAAGCACCTGGTATCTGTCTTTCCGGATTTTCGACTATATCCCAGAACTCCTTGATGCAGCCATCATATATAAATTTGGGCTCAAAATTAAACCAGAACTGCCAATCGATTTTGTTTGGCCCATATGTAAAATTCAACAAGCTCACGACATGGTGATTCCATATAGAAGAGGAGCTTTCACTCCTGAACAAGATGGTCCCACTAAAACGGTCGACATCCTGTATCTTCTTCTCCCACTGACCATATTCGATTAAATCGATCCCCGCTGATATGATTTGATCGAGCCATATGTCGATCGAATTCTTGAATAAGTTTTCAAGTTGATCAAAACCTTCACTCTCTCTATCTGGCAAACCACCCATAATAGCTTCAAAGACCCCCATCAATAGTTTGCGAAGAAAACTATGATGGTTGTTTTTATATATGTCTTTTAAGTTGTGGCATTTTGAACCAACAAGGAAAAGACCATGTATGAGACTTAAATGACCCTTTAAACAATCGCCATATGGCGCCATGAGACTCCTGTTGTCACCACCCCACCGATTTCTTGCGATTATTAAACCCAAGCAGTATATAATTCTTTTCGACAATTTGAAGAAATCCGCTTTCTCTAAGTTTTGGACGCAAGTTTCCAAATCCATGTTGTCAAGGGTCAACCATACGAGTTCTTTCATGTGCCTTAGTCTGCATTTGGAGATTGCTAGCACTAAAAGTGCCCGTTCGCGGTGACTACGTTCCCAAATGGGATTCTCAGTAGATTGAATTAGCCATTTAAATGTTCTAGGAGTAATTTCATAAACATGGTTTAGGAAGGTCGGTAAATCATTCATCACATCATGATCGGTCTTGGGAACTAAATATTGTGTCATTGCAAAATCATCTTCACCTGGACAAAGAAAATTGAGGGAACATGACCATGCCGGCCTAAACAGGATCGTCAGTGTTTGCAGCTGAGATATGATATTGAGCTACAGATGTTTTGTACTTACTGACCAAAAGAATCCTCCATATTTACATCTGCACCTTGATCTATCAAGAATTGACATGAGTTGTGATCTTTGACAAAAGCCGCGTGCTTTAGGTTCGAGTTATTATAGTTCAAAGAAAGTCATGAGAAGAATTTCCTGCATGGAGAAGGGTGGTCCTGTTCTTATCTATATCGAACGGGCTCGCCTGCCGTGTTTGAAATAATTCCTGCATACCAGCCACATCTCCTTCATGGTCCAATTGCATTATAAGCGCACCACGATCAATAACGTTGTATGTTCTCAATATGAAACTCCATCCAGATGTTTATTGTTGATATACACATAGCTCCCATACACCCGAGAAGAAAGGAAGTCGGAGCTTTGCATTCAGGATCTTTTGATGTTTCGATAGTTGCTTCATAGACCTGGAACATGAAGTTTTGACGCACTTGATGTATTCAAAATACTCTTTGTATTACTAGACATCTGTTGTTGGGCAGTGACGATAGATGCAGCTGGGTTAAAGCTTTGCAAAGTCTTTCGAACATCCACCATCTCTAAGAATTGCTGTGTAGCCAATCTCACTTGTTCATCGTGTCTCGATTTACTCAAATTCCTGGCATCGAGTCAGAAACTTTCAACTTCAGAAGTAGAAATCATCAGTACGCAATATATTTCTGATGCGCCATCATCATCAATGAATTCGCTCTCCCGAGTCTCTTCTTCAACTTCTCAAGCAATTCCTTCTTCATTACCATCTTGACCCCTCCCCATTTCTTTCTCCGTTGCATCTCATTTTCTAGCTCCTTCACGGCGTTGTCCAATATATCCACACCTTTTTGGCACAATCGAAGAGATCTAGCGGCTGCAGGTGATATCGTTTGACTACCGAGACTGTCTTCGATTTCCGTGAGCAGCACATGCGTTATGTCCAGTTCATCGAGAATATACAACATCTCTTCTGGGGCATCTTTAACGGCAGTCCAAAAAGATTTGAGTTTCAAAATGCCATCACCGAGCTGGACAGCTAAGGATATGATGCCCACTGCACTACCAGCGATGCCGAGGACTTCCGCCATAATTATGCCAAAGTTTCCCAAGACCTTTACATTGATGTAATTGCTAAATTTGAGGATATGGGCGAAATGGTAAGAATGAAAAGATATATCATAGAATTTGATGAAGAAGAAACGAAACGGCGAAAAGAATAGATTGAGGAAGATGAGGGGGCTCGGAGCCTTGTCATGCATAGCTGACCCCAATGGGAAGGAGAATCTTCCGAAATAAGTTTAGCACCAAATGCGAAGCCTGCAATTCACCTTATTGTGGCTGTACATCTCAATGTAAAGTAAAGTGTCTCATTTGAATAGAAAAAGCCGACTGGCCAAATTTTCAAATCAACAGATTGTCCCGGAAGTGTAGATTTGACGTCTATATGTAGTGTGAATCTCATTGGATACACAGTCTTGTGTAATATTAGAGTAAGGTACAAGGTATTGCATCAACAATTACACAGTTCATATAACCCTACAAGCATATCAACCATCCAAAAACTCTCCCTTTCACTTCTCATGATAATCCAACTTCTTCAAAAAATCCCAAGTTTTCTTCAATTTCCCCCCAACATCCACACCGTCTTCTCTTCCCCTCCCTCTTCTATCTCTCCCCCTCCCGTTTCTTTCTCTTCCGCCTTTTTCACCCCTTCCACTCTGTTTACCTCCTCTTGATCTCTCCTTTCCTTTTCCACTTTCTTTTCCACTTCCACCTCTACTCTTATCACCCTCTCCCCGTCGCTTTCTATCTTTCTTTTCCTGGACTAGGGATGGAGACGGAGGCGCTAAACTTTCAGCATCACTCTCCATTTTCCCGTCTTCATTTGCATGTGGACTGCTCTCTTTTCCTCCTTCTCCATCACTTTCTTCACCCTCAGAACCAGGATCAGAATCTAGATTCTCTTCTAGCTCAGATTCATCATCGCTACCACTTTCACTTTCACTATCGCGCTCTTCTGTCATTTGATCTTGCTCATTTTCCTGCTCAAAGGGTGACTGTCTTGACGGACTCGGACTAATTTCATCACCGGGCTGAGGATGTACTGATTCTGGGGGGCTCATAGGTACAGGAGGCCGTTCCTTCTTGCGTGGTTTCTCCACAAAAGGTTTCTCGACATGATGATTCTTTTCCTTTGATTTTTTCTCTCCGCGGACATCTCTTTGGCTTTCTTCCACTCCCTTATGGGGCCGAGACTTCTGGGTCTCAGGCTTATGTCTTCCAGATTGTTCTGGCATGTTGGCTGACGGCTGAGGTGCGTAAGGTGCGTGAGGCGCTTGCTGTTGTTGTTCTTGTTGTTGCTCAGGACGTCCATAAGGATTGCTGTACATATCATCCGGTCTATTGTATTGATTATGTCCCGGAGCTTGTGATGGCATATGGGCGTTATGTGGTGTATCACCTGGCCTTTGATACGAATTATGTTTCTGCATATGCGCTGATGGTACTGGTCCGGGAATCTGAGGCTGGCTATTTTGATATTGGTTTTGACCCTGGGGCGTATGCATTTGCATCTGATTTTGTCCTATATAGGGATTTGGCGCTACATAGTTTGGATTTGGTGCAGCATAATTTGGATTCGGTGTACCGTGATTAGATTCTGATACCCCTCTAGAACTGATATGCGCTTGGGGTGGGGCTGCTACAGGTCTAGGAGCCGGTGCAGGCAGAGTAGGAGGAGGAAATTGCATACTTTCCATTCCCGCTCTAGGATTCATCCCAGTCGGACCTTGAGGTAAAGAGCCCCCATGATTCGATTGCATATCATCTTCTCTCCCAACCAAATCATCATCATAAGTTCCAAATCCACTATCAAGATCACTGTCATCATCACTACCACTTTCTTCACCCATACCTCTTTGACGGACATATCCATGTTCATCATCACTTCCTGATTCGTCATCTGAATCTGAGTCTGGTTCTGATTCCGAGTCCGAACCGGACTCTGCTTCTGATTCACTTTCCGCATAGTTTCGTCTTTGGTTTCTAGACGGTGGAGCTTTATTTCTTGGATCTTGATGTCCTCGACTTCGACCTTCGGATTTTGGATCTTTACCTCTCGTATCTTGACCTCCTCGCTGGCCACTCTCTGCTCGTGCACCTCTTCCATCCTTTCCAGAACTCACTCCAGCCCCGCCCATACCCCTGGCCGAATTTAATGGCGGCGGAAAACTAGGTGACCTCATTTCACTCCTAGTCGGTACTACAGGAGGTGGCGTACCCCTCATCTGTTGCTGATGCGGAGAGGGTTGTCGCATGGCTTGCTCATGAAATTGGTTGCCTCTCGCATCATATCTCTGAGCACTCGGATAAGTAGGAGGCGGAGCTTGTGGAACTTGTGGCGCATAATTCATTCCGGATCGTAACTGTGGTTGAGACTGGGCTTGAGCTTGAGAATGTGAAGGACCAAAATTCGCTTGTGGACCCTGTTTTGACATATTCGTATTTGCATTTGCAAGCGATTGATCGGGTACTTGTGGTTGATACTGTGAAAATTGTGTTTGTTGTTGAGGAGGAGCCCAAGAACCTTTAATTTGTGGCATAGGAGGATGATGGAAGGGAGAAGGTGTTCTAGCACTTCCCCTCGCCGAGAACGGCGAAAAAGCATTATGAGGAGCAGTAGCCACACCGGGCGTCAAACTTGGTGGAAGAAAAAGTTCGGATTTCCCACGCGTAGTCGGTAAGGGAGGGACTTCTAATTCTACAGGATCACGTTCGCATGCAAGTTCAAAGCGAGTAGAGCGAGGTCGTGAGAGTTGTTGAGGTGTTGAGGGCATGGAAGCATAGGGTGGTGGGTTCGGCGGTTCACTATTGTCTGTTGCTAGTTCTGCTGCATCTTCGGGGATGGAGGGAAAGGCTGTTGCAGTGGGTTTAGCGGAATAGGCGGCTGGGTATGCACTATCTAGCTCTTGAGGTGGCATATCACTTGGATTGGTTGGGTAGCCATTTTGATGTGCGTAGTCGTGTTGACCCATGTAAAAGCGATCATCATTAGGAAGATAGCTGTAAGTATCCTGTGGAGCCTCCATGTACGGATTCTTTGCAGGATAAGAATTCTCGTTTTCAGGACAATTAACGTTTGGTGGATTTTGAGGATAATCATCAGCAGGTTCGCGAACAGAATCTTGGTGATCAAACTCAGAAGCTACTGCTGTAGACGAGCGCCTCGAGCCTACAGCAGAGGAATTATCAGCCCCCTCTTCATCTTCACTTCCCTGATCGGATTCTGCATCCAAATTCGAGCGAGCATCAGCATCGGGGTCTTCTTGATCAGAGCCATTTTCATCCTCGCTTTCATCATCAATTTCATCACTATTTTCCTCATCTGAACCAACCGCAGTGCTTTCGTCATCTTGTCCATCTTCAAATGGATCCTTCGTCGGTGAAGGACTACCATGATCTGCACCGCTAGTGACTGATTTTGCATCTTCATCTTCTGGACCTTGATCCGGTTCAGACTTCTGTTTCCCATTATCTTTCTGATTGTCCATTTGAATCCATTCTTCCTGTCCAACACCATTCCACCAGTCTACAACACTTTTCCACCAAGCAGCACAGCCACTTTCACAACACCCGCACCCATCATCATCACCTCTATATGGCTCGTCGTTATTAGCTCCACTCGAAGGTGGCTGTCCACCATTGGCAGGCCCTCTAGGCTTTCCTTTTGGGCCTCTTCTTCTGACACCTCCACTACTGGGCCTAGACCTAGCTCCAGGACTAGGACTTCTGGGTGAGCCCGGCCTTGGAGAATATCTACCAGATTGAAGTCTTCCGCTAGGTGGAGGGCTCAGAGATCGTGATCTTCCGGACATTGCAGGACTTGGGGGACCACTGCCCGTTGACGAGCGATATGAAGAGCCTCCCATTGGAGATCGATCTTGAGGCGAACCAACATAAGATCCACTTGCCATAGAATCTCTACGTGATCCTGTCGGAGATCTTATTTCAGATCCCATTAGAGACCCCATAGGAGAATCTGGATGGCTACCTGGAGATTGAGGAGGTGATCCCATGGGTAATCCTCCAGGAGACCCTAGTGAGCCGGCCGGTGACTCAATGGGAGAGCCTGCAGGAGAACCTCCTGGTGACGCACTTGACATTGAATTGCCCGGTGACAAACTACCAGGAGACCCACGAGGTGAGCCACCACCTGACATGGGCGATGATGGACCCGGAGATCTGCCGCCAGGAGGTCCTCTCGACATTGGCGATGAGCCACCTACAGGAGAACGACCCCCACCCGGTGATCTACCCCCAGAGTATCCACCACCTGGAGACCCTCTCGATATAGGCGACGAACCACCCATAGGTGATCCACTGCCACCTGGAGATCTATGACCAGGATTACGTAATGGAGGCAAATTTCGTCTAGGAGGACCATCTCTACCAGATGGTCCTCTAACACCCGATGAAGGCGGTCCTCTCCCAGAGGGTCCTCTACCGCCTGATGATGGCGGCCCTCCACCTCCTGGTGGAGGAGGTCCTCTACCACGAGAAGACGGCGGTGGTTGAGATCTAAACGGTGCACCACCTGAACCACCTCCCGGAAGTCTTGAATGACCAGCTGGAGGTGCAGGACGTCGCGGAGAGATGGAACGGCGATTATTTGATCTAGGATCTGATCGATCAGGAGCACCATATCCCGGAGGTCGCATTTGTCGACGATCACCTGGATTAGATTGAGGAGGATCACGTCCATTTGGGCGAGACGGTGGGGGATTATTTGACATTGATCTGCGATCAGGTGCTCTGTCAGATGGTCTACCACCATTGGCAGAATTCAGTTTTCCATCACGTCCAGGTAATCCGTTAGGTCGAGATCTGCCTGGTAAACTTGTTTCTGTAGACATCGAACGGGGATCATGTCCTGCCCTGTCCAACGGGCGTCCTCTATCGTCAATACCTGGCATAGAACGCCCATGGCTGAAATCTCCAGGACGACCATGAATCTGATCGGGAGGGATACCACGTCTAGGAGTCCCATCGGTTGGATCGTCTCTTCGACCTATTGGAGGTGGAAGGTCTCTTGCATCATGTGGCGCACCTCTTCCTTTCTGGCCGCGTCTTCCATCTATGGGGTCATTTCCTTCCCAATCTGACCCATGGTCTTGTCCCCCATCGTTAAATTCTCTATCAGAGGATTGAGGACGAGACTGAGAGTTTCCAGGTCGGTCATCGTCTTTTGGTAAGTCATCGTTTCTTTTAAGATTGTCTTCCTTGCGTGATGATGCATTCTCCCGTGGGACTAATGGATTATTTCTATCCCGTTGCTTACCTCTATCCGAAGAATCACCTATCGGAATTGGAACGGGGACACCAGTAGTGGAGGTTTTTGAGATATCGTCACCATCCTTGCGATGATTCATATTTCGCTTAGTAGGTGAATGTGGTAACAAACTTACCCCTGGTCTACCTGTCCCTTCATCTCCTCTACCGCGCTCTATATCTGCACGTGAAGATCCCAGTGGTATTTCCCCCTCTTCTCCTCGTCTTGCAGGCTTATCTCTCTCATGCCGATCCTTGGTATCACGAAGTTGGTCCATCTGCAGAGGATCACCTCTTCGTTGATTGTTCTTGACATCTTGTAACCGCCTGTTCTCTGCTTCTCTTGCTCTCGTTGGGGAATCTGGATCACCCTCTAACCCTTCTGAATTATGAGACGACCCCTTTGGCTTTTGCCGTTTTGAATTATCCGGCACATCAAGGTCACGTAATTTGGGTCTTCTACTTGGAGCTTCCGAGCCATTCGGTACAGAGCTAGAACCAGATGCAGTTGGGGGTGCAGAGCGTGTGTTGGATGCTATTTGAGCCTTTGAGTGTGGTTTGCTAGGCTCTCTATGTCCATGTGGTGGTTTGCGTGAGCTCTCATCTTCACCCCTACCTTTCCTTTTCCTGTGCTTATCACTTCTTCCATTCCTGTCTTGTGCCGAATCAAACAAAGAGTCTTTGAAATTATCCATCATATCTTGTATAGATTCTGGTCGTAGTTTCCCAATATCGTTAACCTCCGAATTAGTGTCCACATTGAACATTTGTATATAATTAACCAACATGGGCGCATCAAATCGAGTATCTCTTGAAATGTCGACCTGGAGGGGTTTGAATTTCACTCCCCTTATCGATGGAGGTTGGGTTGAGTTGGCATGAAGAAGCCCACATTCTGATAAGTCCAAGTCTTTTCTCAAAGGCGTCACTGAGAGACATGTACAATGAGTTCCAATATCGTCCGGACCTTCCTGAGCTTCCCTTATGACCAGAAAATTTTGATTCGATAATCCATCTTCATCTTCAAATGCTGTGCTAAATACCCGACCTTTTGCGAAGAATTGCTTGCTGTGAGTTCGATATCTATCTCCTCCGTTCCTTTTGTCTGTATGTCTCGTTTGCTGATCTGCCATTCGTCCTGTGTTCAATAATTTAGTATAATTGTGTTTGCTTTCAAATCGAGGAATCATACCATGACGATCACGATTTGAATTACCAACACTTGTAGGCAGCGATCTAAGATTCCTGGTCTCAGCTTGACTTGGAAATTTTCCTATGTATTCATTAGATATATTAGATGACAAATTGAAATCTCAAGGCAACCATACTTCTGTCTTCAGCGGGTAATGACCTTCCCCGTCCCCTGGATCTATCCATATTAAAGATTCTTGAAATATCATATATAGCAAATGTACAGAAAAATCACATATAAAGTGCTAGAAGAAAAAGAAACAGAAATTTAACCTCACAGTGCATACTTACTCAACGTCGAGGAAACACAACACGAGAAACATTGCTTAGAACGGGATACTCACTTACATGATTTCCCCCAAAGCGGAGACGTATGGAATATGAATTGCACATGCCAACAAGAAGCTTGACCGCATCGCCTCAATATCAAGGTCGCGTTAAGGTCAAATCGAGGTCGGCTCTTGCGGCTCTAGCATTGGCGCGCGGTAAAGTTTTTTTTTCCCGAGTTGATGAAGCTCGCGATAACATATTTGTTTATACTCAAGAATCATTTGCAATTGAAGACTTGCTAAATTGAGATATTGTCGATAATATAGAACAGATAATGCTCTTCCCCAAAAATCACATTGAATATCTTCATAAACATCCCTCGCGATCCGCGAATGGCACTTCGAACTCGATGCGGGCCACACAGACGGCCACTTAGCCACTTAGCCACGAGGGAATGGGATCTAGACCGTTTTTTTTGCGTAGTCTATGGTAATTTCAGAATATTCCATCGCATGAAGTCAATCATTTTTTTGTGATAAAGTGGATTGCGCAGTTGAAATTGTAATTAGATGTTTGAAGACAAACTCCTCGGTACGAGGTTTCCCCGCGCTCGCAACATTACCTCTACATTAGCGAATCAACAGGCGGAATTGACAAGATCTTTAACAATCAGAATCTCTTTTGATATAACACTGAATGATATTATGAACTCTAATTTCCTATATAAAGAAGGCTTAAATTTTAATTTAATCTCTTCAGATTTCGAAATATAATTTGAACTGAATTGATAACTTAATAGAAAGGTAATATTGAGATCGGCTCAAAAGATCGGATTCCGCCTGTTTTGTCGCTTACGTAGAGATGACTATTCGTAGGAGAAAAAACAAGCGGAATTTGACCATTTCTATCATGTCTTTATAATTCAATTAATATCTTGGAAATCATACGAATGATGATTTTAGATATTACTTGAATGATACGAAGCTAGCATTTCTTCTGATTGTATTGAATCAATATAAATTATTTTTGGTCGATTTTTAAATTCAATTGATTCGCAAGATTCAATGGAAATTTGAATGATCAAATCCCGCCTGTTTTTTCTCCTACGAATAGCTTGAATCTTTAAAACCATCCACCATCCACCATCCAATTGATACAAATAAATCGTATCAAGACTGAACGATATAGCAGATCAAATAGTAGATATCAAACCAAAAAGATATTTCGGTTAAAAAATCCATACAAAGTGTCATGATCTCCACACTTCCAATAATTCCCCATCCCCCCATCTTCGACATCAAGAAGACATCGATGAAGAATAGTGTACTTTCCCATGTACGACCTACCTATTTCCATTCATTTCATTCCTCATCCAGTCTGACAAATACTCGACTATCTCAATAGGTATCTATTACTTGCATCCGCACTGAAATGTCTACTCAGATGGAATGCGCAAGGGCTGTGCAATCAGTTGGACTAGATCGGTAAACTTCATGCTTGATGAGATTTATACTTGACTCCCAAGATATATACGATCAGCCATTGAATAAAGAATAGATTCTACAGAATCAGATCCTTAATTACAAACCCAGCTCAACTGATATCAAATCAGCATTTTTCAAACTCGAGCAATTTTCAGAACGGTCGAAAAGTAGATGTGGAGGGAGTACCAACTAATTACATGCTTGACAGATTAAAATCGAAAAGACTAACTTGAAATCCGGGAAGATAATCTTAATTGGGTAGCTGCAATATCTAGATGCTAATAAAGACATTCTACTAACACATATCCCAGGCTAAATTCATTTCAACCATATGGAAAAAGCTAAGTATCCATAAGTCTAGTGTAGGCAATAGTATACTATAGTAAAACTGTGGCGCGTATTAGTATATTGATATGATAGCTAGTGCGTTTGGAAAGGAAATTATATCACTTTCGTCATTATTTTTATATCTAAAAATACTAGCAGTATATTGAAATGTTGGAATCCAATATAGTATATTCATTCCATTCAAATTAGACAATAAAATTCCATTCCTTACTTCAAATTAGAATGAAATCCCTTATTTATAACCTAATTTGAATAGAAATGAATATATTATATTGAAGTCCAGTATTTCAATATATTACTAATAATATTGAATAGCTAAATGATATTAAATACTTTCAGTGACACAGCTTTCAATACTCTATACGGCAATATTTGAAAGAAATTCAATAATTATCATTAAATTGATTCGTATATTGATTACGGGAAATACTATGGCCTACACTGCATAAGTCCACCTTAACAAACCGCAAAATCATAATATCAAAACCATCCTCATTTTCAGTACCAGATATGCAAGAGAAAGAAAGACCTCGCAAGTCGAATCAAAGATATGGGAATGAGAGAAGACGAGAGGGAAACCTCAGATATGCAAGGAACAGTCTCAGATGAGATGAGGTACTAAATTCTAATTAAATAATACTAGATAGATGCAGACCTAGATGCAAAAGCTATGATGGATGATAATTATTAAATTATATATTATATCATATCAAAATCTTCACCATACCCGTTGGGTCAACTCTCCCGATGAACAAATTATAGCTTCGTTACTGGGAGATCTGATACCTCCCTCATGATTGATGAGAATTTGATGCAAGAAATGTATCCCTCAGAATCTATAACACTTTCACATACATCTCTTTAAATCTTTCCTCTGAGAATCTAAGAAGCTTTGCTTACCTACCTACTCAGTACCAGATTGGGTCTGAGATTGGAATTGGGATTGGGATTCGCGGGCAGACAGGTATGTAGTATGTAGTAGAACTGTTCTGTTCTGGGTGCAAAACTAGATTGTAATTTTACGTTGGTTATGAGTATACTGGTTGCTATTGGGTAGGTGGTCATTTATCTATCGGTCTATTTTTCCCTGGGGGGAATTGAGAATCTTGTGGAATCTTGAGGAATCGTAGGTTACTAGGTAACGTTGTTGAAATAGTGTGTCTATCTTTACATGACTTGTTCATTCACAAATATATCCAATATATCCAAGAACTTCGAATGATTTCCACAAGTATCAATTACAACTACAAGTCCATATTCTCAAATTCTCAAATTTCAATCTCAAATTCAAATCTTGAATTTACTTAAACTTTCTCTTTCCCTTTCCCTTTCCCTTTCCCCATTCATTACAAAATACAACACCCTCAAAATATCATCCATTTCTTTCTCTTTAACCCCCCAAACTCCAGAAAAAGCTTTCCCCCTCTCCGATTCTATTTCCAGCACTTCTGTATTTTCATCTTCCATTATATATATATTCACACATATACTATACTTTAAATATCCAAATATCTGATATAAGAAGCACATGTAAGATTATATATATATCCATAAAAACAATTCTTGAACGAGGTACCGGGTTTCAGGAGAAATAGGATAGGGAAAGGAATCAAAAGGTTCCGAGTGTTAAGATGAGTTTTGGGACTTGGGGAGGGGGAGAGATGAGAGAAAAGATTGTGTTGAGGTATTGAGAGCGTTTTTGGGATGTGGATCTTTGGAGATTTGGAATTTGGGATTTGGGCGAGGAAGAGGGTAGGGATTGGGTTGAGAGGTTGAAATGTTAATGTGCGGGTATGATTGATGATTGAGAAGATGTGAAGGGGGTGGAACGAAGTGGATATACAGATTAGAGGGTTGATGTGGAGGTTGAGCTATAGAGTCCAAGGAAGGAGTTTAGAGAATGTTAATCTATGGACAAGGAGGATTAGGATGTAGGTTGCGATTGCGGGGTGACAGCTAGAGAAATGATATATAATCAATGATTTATAGATTGAGCGAGCGTGATAGATTTTAACGTAGAAGTCGTAAGTAATTAGGATTTGTAATGATCATTTAGTAAATAGCAAGAAGAGGTATGTGGTAGAACAACGATGAATGTTTAATTTGAAATTATGGAGTTTGGGTACGAGTAACAAGCACACGATTGGGAATATTCAATATCATATAAGTATTTGAAATTTCAATGCAAGGTAAAAGCACAGAAAAGTAAAAAATTGCATGTAAGATCACGCGTGATATTTGCCTATCTATGTAAGATCTAACTACCTAGTCAAATATGTGTCTGCCCGAAACACAAAAGAGTAAAAATGGTATCATGTAGAAAAAGAAATGTATCATGTACAAAGAAGAAGAAGAAGAATCGTCTAGCACTCCGCGCAGCGAAAAGGCTCTCCTATTAGAATGCCATCGAGGTCTTGGCTTTAGTCCAGTAGGTTAATCGCTCAGGAACAGCGGGATCAACTCCAACGCACTTCATATATGCTTGCCATCCTTCTATGGTGCCTGTTTTAAGAGCCGGTCGAGCATCCGCACAGAAAGTCTTTAAAAACCATGGTGCGCTTCCCCATGTGTACTCATCAACCAAAACCAAAGCTCGGATCTCATTCAACTTGTCATCCGACAAGCCATCGATGGTGGTGGCTGTGGTAATTTTTGCGAGAGGATCTTTGAGGGCCGGAATAGATTGCGCGTACTGGAGATTGTATTTGGCCATTTGCATGTTTTTGGTTCCCTGGCCTGGACGACCGGGGCTGTGGTTGATGTTGTATTGGAAATTCACGCTTTCATACGAAATAAGAGCGATCATGGCGCCTATCTCTCCAGCGGTAAATTCTGCGTTGCCGCAAGCTATAGCAATACCCTTTGCTGCTTGAGCGAGAGTTGCGCACTCAGCTGGGAAAGGTGCGGTACTGCAGTCGGTTAAGGCGTTGGCGATTCCACCAACTATGGTTTCGGCTTGAGTGGCACGTCCAAGGATGAGATTGTTCGATGCAATAGGTGATGCAATGGCGAAGGTCGAGAAAAGTGTGATCTGGATGGTCTTGAACAACATAATGAATGATGTCTGATTGAGGTACTGTGCCT